CCATTTAGAAGAGTACAACAAGATGCTGCAGGGATCAGATGATAATAGAAAGCATCCGAAAAACATTAATACATACTAAACAAAAGGTTCTTTGGGTTTCAAGTAACTGCTTCCCAGTTCTAAGCCCAGAGAGACAAAAAAGGAAATCAGCTCTGTGCTAAGGTGGGTTCCTTTTTCCTCTAAGAGCAAATTGAGGCCTCAACAACCTAAATATAGAAGCTAAAGCCATAAAACTCTTAGAAGAAAACACAGAGACAAACCTTCATGACCTTGAATTTGGCAGTAGTTTCTTAAATATGACACTGAAAGTACAGGCAACAAAAGAAAAACACAGATAAGCTGGGCTTCATTGAAATTAACTTTTGTGCATCAAAGAACATTAAGAAACTGAAAAACTGTACAGTTTTTGTAGGGTTTTTTTGCAAATCATAGATTTCAGAAGGGACTAGTATCTAAAATATATAAAAGACTTTTACAACTCAAAAATAGAAATATGACCCACTTAAAATGGGCAAAGGACTTGAAAAGACATATTTCCAAAGATATACAAATGACCAACAAGCACATGAAAAGATGCTCAATATCATTAGTTATTAGAGAAATGTAAATTAAAACTACAATGAGATGCTACCTCATGCCCACCAAGATAACTATGATTTTTAAAAAAAGGAAAATAGCAAGTATTGGTGAGAATGTGGAGAAACTGGAATTGTGAATTGCTGGAGAGAATGTAAAACCTCTGTGAAAAACAGTATATGGGTTTCTCAAAAACTAAACATAGAATTACCAGATGATCCAGCAATTCTATTCATAGGTAAATATCCAGAAGAATCAAAAGCAGTTCCTTAAACAAATATATGTACCTGTATGTCCATAACAGCACTATTCACAGTAGCCAAAAGGTAGGAGCAACCCAAATGTTCATTAATGAAAGAATAGATTTTTTTAAATGTGATATATGCATGCAATGGAATATTATTCATCCATAAAAAGAAATGAACTGCTAAATATGTATAGCATTAATGAATTTTGGAAACATTATACTAAATGAAAGAAACCATGCACAAAAAAGTCATGTGTTATGTATGATTCCATTCACATGAAACACCTAGATTAGGTAAAACCATAGAGACAGAAAGCAGATATTTGGTTGCCAGGGTCTAGGAGAGACACTGTTGAATGGGTAATGGGTTTCCTCTTGGGCTAATGAAAATGCTTTGAAACTAGACAGAGGTGGTAGTTAGACAACATTGTGAATATACTAAATGCCATTGAGTTATTTGCTCAAAATGGTTAATTTTGTTACGTTCATTTTTGCTCAATTTTTTTTTAAGTGAATTAAGGACCTTGGGGGTGGAGAATGATGTCAGATGCCAGGAAGAAAGTCCCTCAAGCAGCTTCTCCCTCCAGACCCAGAGGCCACTGACCAGCTTGAGAAGAACACCAAGGAATCCTAGAGTCCTTTCATCACATTTTACAGATGGGAAAGGCAGGCCCAGAAAAGACAAGGACTTGCTCAGGGCCAGGAAATGCACAGGAAGCATTTCGAGCTCAAAGCTGGCTTTAGAACTCAGAGCTGGCACTGCACCATGATGTCTCATGACCTCTACTGGCCATGGTGGGCTGGCGGAGGCCCGTGGCCATGACTTAGATGAATGAAGTCCAAGATCATAAGGGGCTTCCAGCCTGAGTGTGTGAAAGGGACAATGTCATTACCAATTGGCCATCTGGGTTCATCCATGGCAAAGGCTTTGGATGGGTCAACCCAGGTCTTCTTCCTTTAGAGTCAGCCCCCTCGATGAGTGCCGTTACAACTTTAAAAGGAAAACTCATTAGCCAGCTCTTCTATTTCTGCCCACAGCCTGCATCCCTGGGCTAGAGTCATCAGTTTCCCCAGAGGGGCAATGGAAAGAAAGCAAATGTCCTAGAATTAGGGCATTCACTGATCCCCACTGAGGGACCTGGGAGCATCTAGCCGGGCCAGCAGGCCCATTGGAAAAGGGGTTCTTTTCTTTTTTAAGATTTTGCTGGCTCAGACCTGTTGGGCAGGTATAAAAGGGAATGGCCAACCTCTTCCATTGTGGTCTCAGGTGGGTACCACCAGGGATCCTGGGAGAGATGGGAAATGGGGAGGGGGCTCCTAGAGGAGCTGCCTGAGGTAAGTAGATATAATGAAGAGAGAGGAGCAAGTGGGAGCAGAGGATAAGCGTTTCTTGAGCACCTGCCTGACCCAGGGGCTGCAGAGTGGGGCTCTCAATCCGTGTTCCAAGAGACTTGGACCTACATGACCTGGGCTACATTCCACAATGAGGCAGGAGCATCTGGGCTTCAAATCCAGATCAGCCCCACTTCACTGCACCACCCTTGGGGGCAGGGGAGAATGCAGGGGGTGCTGGATTGATGCTGGGTTCAATCCCAGCCCTGCCTTTTCCCTACTTAGTAATGCATCTCTTCCCCCTGAGGACCCTTTTAGCTGTTGCATTCAGTGAACTAAATTTTTATGTTTTGTGGGTTCTTGATTTTTAAAAAGTGGGTCTTGGTTATCAAAGATGTGTGGAAAGAGCCATTGTCCAGGAGCAGGGAGGACAGGAGTGGTTTGGATGCAGAGGGTACTTGGAGTTGGGGGTCATAACTGAGAAGAAGGCTGGTGGCCAGTCAGAGGCCTGTAGAGCCCTCAGATACGCCTGATCCCAGGGACCGGCACCCCAGGCCACCAGGCCAGGACAACAGCAATAACACCTTAGCTGGTGGTTCACAGCAAAATTAACATTAAAAAAGTACAAGCAGCCATATTGGAATAAACAAAGGAAGGTTTCTGACCCTTCCTCTCCCATTAGAACAATTAAAAAGGAACCCAGCCCTCAGAAGCAGTTCTTTTGTTTTAATGGCAAGTCTAGTCTACTTTAATCTGACCTGGATGATACATGCATTTTCTTTTCATGTGGATTTTGGTCTCATCTCCCTGGTGACTTCCATTTATGTTAAACAGAACCAGGCAAATGAGACAGGAAAAAGACAATGCAGCTGAGCCAGCAGGGACAACAAATGACCAAAGTAGGTATAAATTGATCGATCGTATCTTCCCTAAAGTGGGTGGAGGAGGCCCAAGGAGGCCACTGAGCTCCCAAGGTGACTTGTGGCACAGCTGAGTGAGACACAAGTCTCCTGGATGCTGGCTGAAGCCTGCTCAAGGCCATTGGCAAGAACCAAGGACTCCCAGCCCAGTGCTCCTCAGTGACAGGAATCCTCTCAGAAGGGATTAGGCAGGGTCCTTACCCTTGGCTCAGGAATCTTCCATGGGAAAACAATCCCATTGTGATTTTCACTGCCTTCAACTGAAATGTACCATTTCCTTCCCTTTTAACACAGGCAACAAATCACAGTCATATTAATGGTATTTGTGACTTTGTCAGCAGTGAAAGTCACCAATATTTTCATATCATGTTACAACTGTTGCAAAAAGCTCAAAAGATTGTTAATTCCCATCATTGCTTCAGAGCGGTGGTTATTAGACCTGCTGTTAGATTGTGTTATTTAATGTGTTAGTAAAGAAGCATATGTATTACCATATCATGCATGTTTAATATTTTCAATTATATTTTAATGCCATTTGTTTTCTTGGTGACCCTATATAATTTATTTCCAGAATTTAAAACATTTTATCCAGTGGAACTACAGATATCACCAGATGGCATAAGACCCCCATTGTCCTCCTCTCATTTGTAGTTTTTATGAAATGGGCCAACTCTGGGCTTGGGGAACCCAGGCTCCAACCAGAACTCTCTAAGCTGGACCCCACAGGGAGACAAAAAGAGGAAAAAGGATCTGGCTTTGCCTCCACTGCTTGCCTGTCCTGGCTCAACCTCCTTTGGAAACACCAAGACCTCTCCCAGGGTCCCTCCCAGGACAGCTCAGTGCAGCAGGGGTCCAGGGGCACAGCAGTGAGACCCTCCATCTCCAGCTGGGTTATTTAAAGGTAGAAGCTGGACTTGTCCTCGAGAATTGCACCTGTCAAAGGGACTCAGAATCACACCCTAACCAAAACTTCAGTAAGTTTCTTCTCTCCCAAGACAATCTAAGATGCCCAGTTCTCCTCCTTCCTGGTGGTTTGGTGAAATTGTTTGGGTTTGGAAGCTAAGAGGCCCAAACTTGGGCCTAGGCTGGCCTCATCTGCGAGGTAATCACTGAACCTGGGCAATAACTTGTAGCCAGGTCTCACTTAGCATCTGGTAAAAACCTGTGGACCTCTGATGAGATTAGTGTTTTAAATGTATAAAATAAACTATATATTGTTACAAAGGAAACCTCTGGTAATAAACTACAGTTATCAAAATATTAAAAAATCAGTGTGTGATATAGTGATTAAAAGTCTACTTCTTTGTTAGTAGATTTCAATAACCTCCAACTGAGGATCTAATAAGACCCAAATTTCAAAGTTGAGATGAAGATAAATACTATTTTGAGATGTCTGCAACCACACTAAAAGGAAAATAGCTGTGGTTTCAGTTGGGGTTAAGCCACAGCAGTTCTGGTACTACCATGGCTTATGGCCTCTGTTCATACCTTAAGGGAAAGTGAAAACCAAGTGGTAATAGTTGTTTTTTGGGGGGATGGGGAGGGTTTGTCCCATTTTATGGTTAAACATCCTTACTTTAACCTCTCCTGGCTCTGGTCTTCTCCTCCACAAAATGATCCAGCCTTGCCTCACAGCCTTAATGTAAGGGGTACATTAGACAAAAAAATGCAGAAGTGTTTTGTTGGTGGTGGGGGGGTACACAACTCTGAGGAGTTATTAGCTTATTCTTAGTAATTAAGATCTAATGTTACCAAGACAGACAAAGTGACATGAGAAAAGCAACCCCCTGTCGCTCTCAGGGCCTTCACCTTGGCCCTCACATCAGTTTTGACGAACTGTCTTTGCTTTCTTTTCCCTACAGTGCCTAGAGAAACCCTCGTTCCCACCCTAGGTTCCTCCTTGCTTCTTCCTCAGCCAAGCCACAATGCCCGGTGGATATAAAAGTGAATGTGGGGATGATGCGGACGCAATGTCTTTCCTGGTCCCTCCTGACAAAGAGAGGATCGAAGCTATGAACAAACCCTATGACATCAAGAGGTCCTGCTGGGTCAAAGACGAGAAGGAAGGCTTCGTTGCTGGAGAGATCCAATCTGAACAGGGGTACCAAGTCACCATGAAGATGGTTACCAACCAGGTGAGTGGATAATACTCTTCAGGATGAAACAGCTTTGGAAGTGGCAGACACGCAGGCTCCATTGTCCACGCTTCTGGTCAAGAGGCAGAGTTGCAAAAAGAGCAGATGCCTCTGAGTCCCATGTGCTGAGTTCAAGTTCAGACACAGTGACACTCAAGCTGTGTAGCCTTGGGAAAGATACTTTTCCTCTCTGAGATTTGGCTTTCTCACAACAGAGATTCCAATGTGTTAGGACATAGTAAAGTACTTTGTATGCTCTAACACAATACATATGTATAAGAGATTGTCATGAGTTGCTCATCCTTAAAGTCCCAAACAGTTCTCATGTGGAATCTGTTTTCTAAGAGTGAGAATGAGCATCCCACCCATCAGTGGATGCACTATGTGCCAATGACAGCATGAAGAATGTGAGACAGGGCCTGGAACACTGACCAACTTGAGTAAGCTCTTCAGTTGCATCAGCAATAGATGGTGGCTGCTGAGCCCCTTGCTGCCTGGTAGTGGTGTTCTGGAGCTGGCTGGTCCTGCCTTGCAAGGACCCAACAGTAAACATTCAGGATTTGCAACCAGTTGTTGAACATTTGGCAGCTTCATGTCAGCCACAGTGGAAGTATTTACACCATGGGAATTGACAAATTGTACAAATCAGAGATTTTTTTTTCCATACAAATGGTTTACCAGCACACCACTCTTTCTGTTAATCAACATTGCCTAACTCTGAGGGGTGACTTGAGAAATTGAATAGAAAATTTGTGAATTGAAAATTTGTTTTATTAAATCCCTACCCTACTGCAGATTCTGGGTTAGGCACGAGCATTGTATTTAATCCTGTCAATACCCTTATGTAGTAAGATTTATTGATCCTGCTTTTCAGTAGGATAGAGAAAACTTTAGGTGACTTGCCCACAGTCACAATTATGAACTCATATTCAAAGCTAGAGCATCTGGCTCAAACACCTGTGTTCCCTCTACTTCACCATGCCATCTCTCCATGGTGAGCAGCAAGGGGGAGCATGAGGTCAGTCCTTGGTTGATTTCATGCATAAGATAAGCCAGACACCTTCCATGATGAGAATTTGCAATAGTCGAGCTTCACTTTGCACCCCACTTCCAGGGAAGTGACTGGAGAGAAGTGAGGTTATAGTTGGATTAAAGTGGATTTGAACATTAAAGTCAAGCCTAATTCTCAGGAGGAACATACTTTTCAGAAGGGCAGAACATGACAGTGTTGTAAGAAATGATGGACGATAAGAGTGGAGACCCAGAGGCCCCAGTTTGGATGCAATTTAAGGACAGTGCTTCTGGGAGCATCTGCAGTGGACACACCACCCAGCCAGGTTTGGGATGGAAAAGACTGACTTCCTTGGTTCCTAAGATAAAGGCTGGAGATGAGAGATAAGTGTTTGCCTGTGGGCAAAGCCCAGAGATCTGGAAATCAGTGGAAATAGACTCTGAATAAAATCCAGCTTGACTCACTAGGGGTATGGTGACCACTACTGGGTGGATTTTCCAAAACTGTCAAGATGTCAAATTATCTACCTATTGGACTTATAAATTACTAAAAGTCTCAAAATTCAAAGGTGTATTTAAGTTTCACATCTCAGGCTGTAGGCAGCTCAAAGATATTTTTTTCCTGGATCACATGTCTTAGGCTTTGGCCCTAGATGATAAAATGTAAGAGTTGGTGCTAGTTTTCACTTACAGATGAAAAACCAGGGTGCAGAAAAGGGCAGGATTCACCCTCCATGCACAGGAGCTCTGACTCTTAATGCTCTACATTACTGCCCAACACTCATTGTCTTCTTTTTCTTTGTCTCATTTGCTTGCTTGTTTCCAATTTTATCCTTCAAAGTGGTTTGGTGGGAGCCAATGTCCTTTTTTTAATGAAAAAGTTCATTACTATTTAGAAACCACCACTAATTCCCAAGGCAGAAAGCCAAGAGTCACATCTCTGCAAAGCATCTCTGGGATCAATGAGAAAGGTCTGATCACCTATTAGGATGGACCTGATAGGAAGAGAAGCATAGGCCAGAGGTGCTCCAAATGAGGGAGGGAACATCACAGCTTACAAGGCACTTTTCCATAGCCCCACTTAAGTTCATATAATTCTCCCAGAAACCAGCCATGGAGGCTATTGTCGTCCCTACTTCAGAAAGTAGGCTGTTAGGTCTCATATGATCTCAGAAGTCTCTCCCCTTCCCAAGTTGCACAGGGGGCATGACTGGACCAGGAGTTGGGTCCACTTGACTCCTGACTCCAGCTCCTTCCAGGACAGTATGTGTGTGGTAACCAGTGCCAGATGCTGCTGTGGTTGTGACAGTACTACTCCCTAATTCATGTGCTATATCTCGACATTTCCCCCAGACCGTCACCATGAAGGATGATATCCAGCAGATGAATCCACCCAAATTCTACCAGGCCAGCAACATGGCAGACATGACCTTCCTGAATGAGGCCAGTGTCCTGGATAATTTGCGCCAACACTACATCAACATGAGGATTTATGTAAGTGCCCCCGGCTAGGGGAGAGAAGGAAGTGGGCACTACAGATTTCTGCCCCTCTCCTGATGGGAGGAAGTAGCTACTCTACCTTCCACAGCAACTGATGCACATTATGACTCAGACAAGGGCACAGGGACTGTTTTTGACCCATTAGAACCTCCACTCAAAGCTTTTGACATCTCAGTGATGACACCATCTCCACGGGCAGCCAAAATATCTTTTGCTGAAGTTGCCACCCAGAAGTCTTCCACCCCACCCCACCTCTGCAAACTCCACAATCAAAATATCATTTTCTCTTTAGTGACTTTATATGGCTTGATTAGAAGTCCCTCCCTGTCCCTTCCATCCATCCATCTATCCAACCATTCATTTATCTATCCTTCCTCCTTTCCTTCTTTTCTTCCTTTCTTCCTCGTTTTTCTTCTTTTCTTCCTTCATTCTATCCATTCATTCAATCATTCATTCAACAAACATTGTGCACTATGCTAGGATGAGCAAAGTGGGTTACCATCAGTCCCCTGATTGTCTTGGAAATCCCAGGACAAAAGTATGATTTCCTAAAAGTGCTGGTGGCTAGATTTAGCATGGGTGTTTGCCCCTCTAGATGTCTTTACTAAAACAGAAAAATGCTTATCTGATAAGAATAGGTGAGGTGGAGCCTCCCTTAAAGGTCAGGGGCCCCTGGGGATTTCTGGTGATTTTCAGTGACAGGCAAGATGGCTGCTGCATGCTTCCTTCCCTCAACCTACTTCAATACTACTTTAGTTCCAGATTCAAGCCCCTAGCAGCACCATAGCCCCAGGCCATGCTGAAAGATCTCTAAAAAGCTCTTGGAAATATTTGCTGGGTCTGAATATCTTAAGGATATTTGCTGGGCCTGGAGGTGAGTGGGGATCATTTAACTTCATGTCTGGGAAGAACCACATTCTCCTTGGCTGAGCCTGGAGCTTGGGCTGAGAATGTGTGGGCTTGATGGCCAAGCTTGGGCCCAGGGCTTACTCAGGGTCACTCTGCAGCCAAGCCCTTGCTCACCATTGGTGGCCACGCCATGTCTTTGGGCTAAGGGGCTGTAGGCTCTGCAGAGTATGGCCCAAGGGGCCAGGACAAGGGGTCTCCTGAGGTGCTGGTAGAACAACTCTGACAGGCAGGGGTTCTTCCACAGTTCCAACTGCTTCCCTTTCACACCCCTCCTGTAAGGGAAGATGGGGAACCTCTCCTTTCATTCTGACCAAAACAGGGATATAACTGGTTTCCAGGCTTAGGTCTACACACCCCCCACCATCCCCGCTGACACAGGGCTGGAGGGAAGGAGTGATTCAATGGCTGGAGTCCCAGGATGAGACACTGTATATCATATTTACAACTCAGTAAGATTCCTTATAAAACTTAACATATCACTGCTATGTTAAGGAGAAGCTGGGGCTGGCGGGGAGTGGGGAAGGTGGTTGGGGGGCAGTAGTCCCACTTGGACCAAAGTGGAAATTCTTAAATTTGAACTATGAAGAGGCACAGAGTGGGGACAGCAGGTCAATATGAGTGTCCAGCAAGGAGAAGGGAGAGTCTGGAACCCACGGATGGCCACCCTTGGATTTGGCCATTTCCTGCCCTCACTTATTCTCTGCACAGATAATTCCTTACACTACCTCATTGGTTTTTCTGATTCCTTTTATGGGATGATTTTCTTACAAAATTGTCTTGGGATGAAACAAGAAGCTGGCATCTTTTAAGAGTAGATCAAACCCAACTGCCCACCAGGAGGGGATCATGCCCACACAGTGAGCACTGCACAGCTATTAAAACACCCCAGAAATCTCTATGAACTCTCGTGGAAAAATCTCCCAGCTATATTAAATGGAGAAAGAAATACATAAAACAGTGTTATGAAATACTATCTTTAGTTTTAAAAACAAGGTAGGGCATAAGAATGTGTCTCTGAATTTGTTTGTATATGCATCAGAAACCATGGAAGTGGGTATTAGGAAGTGCTTACCTGTGGGAGGAGGGGGCAGGCACCGAGCAGTTGGGGGAAATTTTTGCTATATGTTTGTCCATATAGTGACTGTATTATTTATTCAAATAATTAAATCAAAAGAAAATGAAACTTATACGTTAAAGAGAAGACTTGTTTTGCTTACTGAATAAAGACTCAGACATAGATTTTGCCCCCAGAGAGGACACCACTGTATCTCTCCAGGCTGGCAGTGACCTCCAGCCTGGCTGCTCTGTGACAAGTTGGAGCCTAGAGGGAGGGAGGCAGCAGAAGGAAGGGCCAGCTAACCATCTTCCTTCCCTCCCACCAGACCTACTCAGGCTTATTCTGCATGACAGTCAACCCCTACAGGTGGCTGCCCATCTATGGTGCCCGAGTGGGCAACATGTACAAAGGCAAGAAGCAACAGAGATTCCACCCCACCTCTTCTCCATTTTGGATAGTGCCTACCATGACATGCTCATGGGTATGTGGGGTAGGGCCTGGTGGGGCTCTCATGTAGGTGACAGATGCTCTGTTGCCATTGTCGCTCCAAATACATAAGAACCGTGTGCTACCCAGTCCCAACCCTGACCCTGCACTACCTGTTGCACTTTTTTGCTAAATGTTGAGCTGCAACGGCATGTGATATTAATACCAGATGCCAGTGCTCAGTAAGTGCACTTGCTAAGTACCAGCCCTACCTCATGCCCTATCTCACTGAAGCATCGCAAAAGCCAGGATGTCAAGTAATTTGCCCAAAACTCAAGTCAACATTTAACCATTCCCTGTATGATCTCTGCCATACAGTATAGAGGCCCCATGAAGAGATTTTTATTATCATTTCTCTTCATTTTATTTATGACTGGGTAGCTTTATGGGATAAAGTTTCTGGTAGAAACATGGTGGCTGGTCAGTTCTTGGCCCTTTCCACAAAGATGTTTGATACAGAGACAACCATGTCACCACAGACCCCACAAGATCCTGGGTTTTCAGGCTCACCTGGCTTCTGTGGTCACTCTCCAAGCTGGATGGGATGCAGGAAGAGTCAGGCTGTTTGGCAAAGATGATGTCAAACATCTAGTTTCTAAGTGTTTCCTAATTACATTTTCCAATTGCTCTTTTCTTCCCTGCAGATTGTGAAAATCAGTCCATGCTAATCCCATAAGTGTCCCTTCTGTCCCTCAGTTTATATACATATAATTAAATCTGTGCCTTATATGTGTAAATAAGCCCTCTTAAATTAATTGGTGGGACCCTGTATAGAAATCTGTAGGCAGCAAGTAGGCTTAGCAGGACTAGTAAATATGCACCTGCTAAACTATGGGGAGCCTCCATGTCCCTAAGCCCCCCACCTGCCTGTCACAGCTAAAGGGAGAAATGTGATCATGCTCAGCCTGTACCTTTGATTGCCCTACTCCTCTGCTGCTACTCCCCTGTTCGTGCTTCACTTGTCTGCTCCCGTTTCCCAACCACAGTGGAGAATCTGGTGCTGGCAAGATTGAGAACATGAAGAAGGTCATCCAGTACTTTGCCAGTATCGGAGGAACTGGCAAACAGTCCACAGATTCAAAGGTAGGGCTGACTGCGCAAGCTCAGGTCTGCAAGCCTCAGCCCACCCCATCTTAGGGCCCACATGGCAGCACACTTGTGACCCTCGAAGCTGCTCTGTGGCTTAGGGCCATTCTACAGACAAGAAGACTGAAGATTGGAGAGACATACCTTGGGTGGGGGCACACTGAGAGGTGGCCGCAGACCCAGGTCTCGACCCACAGGATGAGTTCTGCTGCCTAGAGCCCATCTTACACGCAGGACCTGGGGCACAAAGAACATTAGCTGAGCCGGTGGCGGCATTCAAATGCTGACAAAGAGAAGGAGGGTTGGGCTAGAGATCAGGGATGCCTAGGGAGGATGTTCAGCTTGCTCAAGTGTCTCCACCAAGAATAAAGTGAGGAAACAATAGCTAAGAATCAAGGCCTTTCATCAGCCAGGTGCCCCTCCAACGTCAGAGGCTGCAGGGGTACAGTCATCAGGCAGTGGCCCTCCTCCCAGGTCCCCTCCAGTCCCAATTTCCTAGCCTCCCAAACCTGTTCCCCAGTGGTTCTTGGCACATGAGCCACTGTCACTTGAAAGCCCTGGGTCCCCATGCAGTAGCCCACAGGCCACCCCATCTCTAGTGTTTCTCTCTGGGGCAGGGGTCCCTGGAGGATCAAATCATCCAGGCAAACCCTGTGCCAAAGGCTTTTGGGAATGCCAAGACCACCAGAAACAACTCTCGTTTTGTACGTGTGAACAGCAGCAACGGTGGGCCCTGGGGGTGATGGGACAGGTGTCCTCACCCCCTTCCAGGTAAGCAAATCAGGGCTGATTTAAACATACCAATGGGAATAGGCAAGTCACAGCAGCTCCTTCCCAGAGATTTTTATGTCAGGCTCTATATCAAACAGAGCTCACATCAGTACATAAATCAAGGAGCTTAAACACAGAAAGTTAGGGACATGGGGATATGGGGGCTGTGAAGTCAGACATGGGAGCCAGAGATTTGCAATGTCTGGAAGCTGTGGACCCTCTCCCCAACCCTACAGGTTGCCTCACAGACCCAGGACTGAGCTCTAAAATCCATCCACCTACCCTGCCCATCTGCATGGGACATCCACGATTCAGAGTACAGCCACATCTGGCCCTGTTACATTCCCGAAGTGCCCTCTCAATTCAGGGGGCTGTCAATGAGTGACTGTGGCCAAACCTGAGCCACATGTTGCTCTAGGACTACACATACACTCCCTCATGACCCTCCCCCCGCCTCCCTGCTCAGGGAAAGTTCATCCAGATCCACTTCGGAGCTACAGGCAAACTGGCCGGAGCAGACACCGAGAGCAGGCCCTTTCGGAGGGCTCTTCCAGGCAGGCTCAGTTCCATAATGTGTGGGGCTCAGTGCAAAGTGACCATGAGGGCCTCCTGTTCAAAAGGTATTAGGAGTTTCAAAATAGCAACAGAGGAACATTACATCAGTGGGTGGAGGCCTCCTGAGCATAGCCTGTCTACCACCATCAGCAGTCAGGGGCCCCCGAAGCTGTGCGTCTGGGGGAGAGGGAAGGATGAACCCATGACTGGCTATGGCACTGGGCTTTGTGGAGAGGACCCCTGCACTCAAGGCAGAATGGGCTGAACTTCCAGACATTTTGCTTATTCTTTTCCAGATCTTAAAGAAACCTCGTGTCATCTCACAGCAAGCAGCTGAGAGGGGCTACCACATTTCCTGCCAGATTCTCTCTAACAGGAAGCCTGAACTTGTTAGTAAAGATCTGTTTGTCTGCCTGCTCCTTAACTCACTTTTCCTGTTTTATCAATAACAAAAATATCCCCATGTGCGGAGCCCATGGCTCTGCCTGAATCCTTTTAGCTTAGAGTTATGTGAGTAGGATACAGGGAACCTTCTCAAAGTTCTACTCACATCTCATCTTCACAACAGCCTTAAGGGCCTTAACTCCACTGTCGGCCCGTTTCACAGATGGGGCTTTGGGATGCCTGCAACTCATGGCTGAGGCATAGCCCTGGAATATGGAGCTTAAGGCCTCTTGTGTCTTGGACCTGCTGCCTCTGGGCCCGATGCCTAGACAGCAGCAGAGAGGTCAACCAAGGACCACAGTTAGCCCTGCCACTGCCACAGTTAGCCAATGCAACAACAGGCCACACTCTGCAGGGACACAGCTCACACTGAGGGTACTGCTCGGCCAGCAGAGTGCACTCATCCACTCAGCTGGATGCCCTTGGGCAGACACCAACTTGCTCCACTGTCCTTGGCAGACCTGCACAGGATGTCAGGGCAGAGAGGGGTAAGGATGAAGACTCATTCTTCCATATATACACCCCTGACCCAGCCAGAGACTAGGGCATTGGACACCATCCCCACTCATAGGTTGGCTTTATTTGTGTTCAACACAGAGTATTTTTAATTAAGGGAAACCAATTTCCTAGTTTATCTGAAGTAGCAGAAGATCTGGTTGCTATGGGCTTGCTCTCCCATGTGGCACTAATCAGGGCAACTGAATGGTCGTGGCCCCTTCAGATAGAGCAAAGGCTCTCCTGTTTACCACCCTCTCCACCAAGCTCTATTGCCTCTCTGGTGCAGCATGGTAGCCTCTATTTACCTTCATTCTGGGGCTGTGGTTTGTCTCGAGAGTAGAGATGAAAGGAAAGGCAAGTATTTCTTGTACCCATGACTCATCTGGAAGTGAAAAAACAAAGACCAAGAAGAAAACTAAAAGTGAGGATATTTCTTTGTGAAAGCAACAACGTTCCATATATAATATATGAAGTGATTATTACTGCTCATGCTATCACATGTTATCTTTTGCCTTAGAGTCTGACCCCCACAATGTCCACTGTCATGTCTGGCACATGAGAGGCATTTAGAAATATTGCTTAAAAATGAAAGAGAAGAAAGATGTGTGTCGCCAAGCTGCTAACTTGCTTACCTGCTCTTGGCAGAGAGTTTGCTGCTGGTCCCCAATCCTAAAGAGTACCACTGGGTGAGCCAGGATGTCACCATGGTAGATAATATGGACGACAGGGAGGAGCTGCAGATCACAGATGTAAGTGGATAGGAATGGCTAGTGAAAGACAAAGAGAGTCAAGAGGGAAACTTTGGGGGCCTGCATGCACCACTGTCAGAATTGGGGTGGGGAGTCCCCCTAAGAGTTGTCAGGCAACAGCCCAGATTCTTCTCTCGATATTCCTGGGGTTGCAGTTAGCATTTCTCCCAAGCCTGTCATAGCAAGCAGAGTTTCTCTTTGCAGTATTGAACTAGAAACGCATAGAGAACCCCAAAGATTCCACCATGAGCTAGAATTCCGTAGGGACTTAAGGAGGCCATGTACTCCATGCATTTTTTTTTTAATCCTCACCCAAGGACACAATTATTGATTTTAGAGAAAGGGAAAGGGAGGGAGGGAGAGAGAGAAAGAGAAACATTAATGTGATGAGAGAAACATGGATCAGTTTCCTCTAGTATGCGTGCCAACTGGGGACCAAACCCACAACCCAGGCATATGCCCTGACCAAGAATCAAACCCATTATCTTTCAGTTTATGGGACAGCACTCCAACCAACTGAGCCACACCAGCCAGGGTTACTCCACACATTTGTTTCCCCTTTCCAGTCCAGCTAGACATTCCTATTATACCCTCTCTTATTATTATGGCACTGAGCACCTGTAACTTGTGTTAAGAGTATTTGTGAAATCTCTCCTGTTTGACAACACAATTGATTCCTGATGCATCTTTGCTTTCTCATCTCCCAATACCTAGCATGAAACCTTAACAATAATAATGTTGTAATAATTATACTACTCCTCAGTTATTATTATCTGTCAAGCACTGGACTAAACATTTATTCATTACTCTGATTTATCCTTATGACCACCTACTATTGCCATTTTGCAGAAGAATAAAGAGAGGCCAGAGAAGTTAAACAAATACAGAGACTAGATTGCAGAGCATCTGGTCTGGGCTCCTTGGAGAAAAACAGACCTCCCTGATCAGGGTGTGTCCGATCTCCAAAGTCCACACCATGGTGCAGTGACAGCGTTGTGGCCTCTACTCTGGAATGAGAAGCCAGGAGATTCTTGGCTTTCTCCTCCTGGTGGCCTTGCAGGTTGCATTTGACGTGTTGGACTTCAGTGCTGAGGAGAAGATGGGCATTTATAAGCTGACTGGGGGCATCATGAATTTTGGCAACATGAAGTTCAAGCAGAAGCCTAGAGAGGAGCAAGCTGAAGTGGACACAACCAAGGGTAGGTGTTGGGCTGGGGCTGATCAGAGAGTTGCAGAGCTCTCCAAAGCTTCATGCACATTTCAGAGACATGCTATAAACCAAGGACATTCCTTAAATGTCCAGACAATGATACTCTCAGAGAGACATGGCAGAGAATCAGAAAGATGATTTTGGTTTCTATACTCTACTTTTCCACTTGACCTTGAGTGAGTATGGAAACCATCTCAGACCTCTATTTTCTCATTGGCAACATAGGATCTTCTCCACCCTCCCCTCACTTACGGAGATAGTACTAAGTTTCTCAGGGCACCATCTTTCTTTCACTCACCTATATTTTTCCATCCCTGCCCAGTGGCTGACAAAGTCGCCCATCTCATGGGTCTCAATTCCAGGGAACTCCAGAAGGGCATCACCAGGCCTTGGGTCAAAGTAGGCAATGAGTTTGTGTAAAAGGGCTAGAACATCGAACAGTGCAACAACTCTCTTGGGGTTCTGGGCAAAGCTGTCTACGACAAGATGTTCAAGTGGCTGGTGGTCAGGATCAACAAGACCTTGGACACCAAGATGCAGAGGCAGTTCTTCATTGGGGTGCTGGACATCGACGGCTTTGAGATCTTTGAGGTATGCCTGGCCTTGCCTTTTGTTTCTGCTTTGGGGTGGCCATCCTCCTTTTATAAACAACTTTTCACCATGGTTCTCTTGTACCTTACCTTGGACCTGGGATAGGCCAGTTTTAGTTTGCTCCTGGGTGTCTGACTTTTGACCTCCAGAAAGTGTCATCTTAACTTGCCTATTCATAAAGAATGATAATGGATAAAGTGAATGGTATGCTAGAACTTACCTGTACCGGCTCACAAGAGCTTTTGGTTCAATCTTCTGGAATTTTGTGAGCCAGCTGACATTATATTGATACATGGCCCTGCTGTGAATGTTTATATCATGGAAATTGGCCAACACTACAAATCAGGCTTTTATTGAGAGAGAGAGAGAGAGCTGATTTATCAACACAACATTTGTGGCCTCCCACTTCTTGTCCACAGAAATGAGACTCAGCTCTAATCACTAGTCTAAAGACTAGTGTTGCAGGTCAGGAAGATTTTACCTTGATAATAGGAAGCAGCATGATTAAGAGTCAATAGACTAGTTCTGGACTCAAGTTGGCCACCAAATAGTTGTGTGGCCTTAGGAAAGTGTCTTTGCCTGTCTGAGCCTTGTTTTCTCAATATTAAAATGAACAGGCTGGAGGAGATGATCTGTAAGGTCCATTTCAGCTCTACTGTCCTATTATTCTAGGATTTCTACTAGCCACAGATGGTTACCAATTTCTTCAGGTTCTAAAAGGTTAGTTTGGCTGCAGTCTACAAAGAATAATTTAATTTAATAGGTGGAAGGAGCCTTAGAGTTTCCAAACTGTGCTCCCTGGAGTCCTGGGGAGCCACTGACAGTCAGCAGGAGTGGGACTAGGGAAGAAGGAGGATGCCCTGTGCCAATAGCAGAGTGTGTTCAACAAACAAACAGGGATCAAATCCCAGCTCAGCCATTTCCAAGCTATGTGTGCCTCTGTTCTCCATCTATAAATGGGAATGCTAACCATTCTCACCTTGTAAGGTTTATGAGCAGATGCAGCTTAGCCCAGGATCAGATGCATGCATGTGCTCCATGTATATTTCCCTGTGATTTCAATGGCGCCTCTACTTAAAATTATTTTTCATAGGAGGCTTCAGCATGGAGTTTCATTCAGAGAACGTAGTATCTGAATTATAAAGGGGGTCTATGAATCCCTCAAACCTCTTCATTCTACAGATGAGGAATGAGAAAAATTATAACAGTACAGTCCAAAGGTACAACAGGGGTCAGATCCATAAAACATCTCAAGTAATTTCCATATCTGTAAAGACAATGTTTCTTTCCATGAAGATTTTTGTTAACCACACAGGGCCAGAGTCTGGCTGGTTAGGTTTTGGTCCTGGAAGCAGCACTGTTGGCCAGGGGCACATGCTCAAGCTCCTCTGTCTTTTCAGGGAGGGTAATGGAGAAGGGCTTCTCACAGGGCTGAGGGAGCTACTGATGAGGTGGGCAGTGTTAAGGCATTTGGGACAGTGCCTGACATGGGTTGGCCCTCGGTAGATTTTAGCTCTACTGTAGTTCTTTGTTTGGTCCTGGGGGAGGCTCCATTGGTGCCTTGGCTGAGACCCTTCTTTCTGTTCTCCTGCTGCAGGTCAACCACTTTGAGCAACTGTGCATCAACTTCACCAACAAGAAGCTGCAGCAGTTCTTCAACCACAACATGTTTGTGCCGGGGCAGGAGAAGTACAACAGGGAGGGCATCGAATGGGTCTTCATAGACTTTGGCCTTGACCTGCAGGCCTGCATCAACCTCCTGGAAAAGGTAACCTGCTTTTCGAAGGAGGGACTTGGAGAGGGGCTTGGAGGTGGTACCTGGATTCGGGGCAGTCAGCAACACTGCTGATGACCTTGGTTGGTCTGACCTCTAGCTTCTTCTCTGCAAAATGGGTACAACAGGGACTGCAGTGACAACAGTTAGTTGGGCTGTTGAATGCCTTAACTCATTGAATCATAACAAGCTACCATATGTGGAAGATAAATTAGTATAACCATTCCAGAGATAGAAACATTGAGGCACAGATAAGGAAAGTCACTTGTCCAAGGTCATACAACCTGTGAGTGGCAGAGTCAGACTCTAACCCAAGCAATCTAATAGTCTCCCCTGTAATCAAAATCCCTATGTAAAATCATATCATAGGGATTTTGGTGTTTTAGCAGATGGCCTAGTTCAAGAACAGATATTGTTTGACTAAATGCATAAAAGGAATAGAATAAAGGACATTTACAGGACAGATGACCAAATTTAAACAAAGTATATTCATAGTATTACATCTGGTTTTTGTTATTGTACAGAGTAAAATATATTAACATTTGGAGAAGTTGAATGAAGCGTATATAGGAATGCTTTACATGATTTTTGCAAGCCTGAAATTTTATCAAAGTGAAAAGTTAAAAAATAAAAAAAAGAAAGAACATATCTTTTCTCTTAGGCCAGCAATTTTCAATTAGTATGCTGCAAGAATTTTTAAAATATGCAGCATCTGACTATTTAGTCAGGGGAACTGGCTTCTTTTCCCTTAGACTATCAAATAAAAATGACAACAGCCAACACAACAATAGCCATCTGGTGTGAATGAATCAAAATTATGCTTATTTTTCATCAGATTGGCAAAAAATATATTTTTGATGTGCCACAGAGTTTTAGTAATTAGTTTATGTGTGCCATGGGATGAAAAAGGTTGAAAATCGATGTCTTAGGCTCATTCTTTGGCCTATCATGTAGAATCTATCATCAAGATAGCCAGGAGTCTCCGCCGTGGGTTCAGCTTTAACTCCACAGTAAAATAGAGTCTCCAAAAACAGACTGCATGCATGATTCACCTGTCCCCCCACACCTACAAATATATCCCTGTCCAGCTGTCACAGAGTCTGGAACATCCTCATGCTTGAGCTTTGGGTTTAATCATTACCCTCTTCCAGAAGTATTCTTTAAAAATCCAGACTCTGCATGGAAGGGGAAATATTAAGGTACTAATAACATTTATGAGCTCTGCCTTTTTTGTGTGAGTAGAGACCTAGAACAACATGAGGCCCCTGGGTAGCGAGGAATGTCACTGAGGAGGAGGAGAAGGAGGTGAAAGCACATAAAGCAAACAGAGAGGTCAGATGTTTTTGATCTCACTGTTTTTCTGAGGGCCAAACCTGCCTGGCACCACTGTTTGGGTGGTATTAACACTTGGGGAGCTATCTGCCCCTTTCAGACTTCAGTCTTCCCTTCTGTTGGACTTCATGAATTCTAGCCTCTTTCAAGTCTAAATGGCCATGGCATTAGAAGACCAAACCATGGAATGCCAGGCACCATTCCCAGAGTTCTGCCTCCTGGCCAATGGGTGTGTGGGCACCCCTACCACCAACCCTTGGCCAACATCAAAGTGCACTCTTTGGGATCATGTGGCCTCCTCTAAAGCCATCTGCTCCTCTTCTCTCTAGCCCATGGGCATCTTCTTTATCTTGGAGGAACAGTGCCTCTTCCCCGAGGCCACCAATGCCACATTCGAGGCAGCCCTGTATAACAACCACCTGGGCAAGTCCAGCAACTTCCTCAAATCCAAGGGAGGAGGAAAGGGCAAGGGGCCTGAGGCTCACTTTGAGCTTGTCCACTATGCAGGCACTGTGAGTATTACCCTGTGGTCACCTGTTGGCTTCTTTTCCCTCTTGCTATTATAGGTCCATCCTGACACTCCCTTCCAAAGGCTTCCAGCCTCCAGCTAGTATAGCCACAATAGAACAGGGTGATCAGCTCACTGAAATGAACTCCAGCTCATACTCCCTCATCTTCTTCATCTGAGAATTCAAAAAGTCCAAGCCAAGGATGCCTGCTAAGGAATGACCAACAGTTTGTGGCCCTCAGAACTGCCAAGTCCACACCATTGTCTAAAGCCCTTGGTTTGACAGCTGAACTTCAATCTTGGTCAGAAATGAGAACACTTGAAAAAAATTTCCATGAGCACATTAATTAGTCCCCAAATGATTAACTCATCTCTCTGACAGCTTGTGGCCACCAAACCAACAAGGTAACATCTACAAAGTGGCTTTTCACTTATGACAAACTCAGTCCTCACGGAAGGGGATAATTAAGTGCAAGGAGGACTCAGGTCCTATTTGAATAATTGATTGGGATGAGAACATTCATCCATCCAGTTTATAAAAATGCATTTTACTTCTTTGGGAATTCAATATTGTCATAAATGCCTATGTTGCTATTACCACTAAAGTTTATTGACCCTCCTTGGGTTTAACTGCAAGGAAACTGCAGCCTCAGCATAGAGCCATCAGGAAAGCTACTGTCAGATTGGGCATTGGGACCAAGATTTAATAATCTCATCAACCATAACAATGTCAGCTACTCATTCACATTGTCAATTACTCAAAATAAATAGTGCTGACACCTAAAGCAAATGGCAGGCTTGGGAGCAAATGGCAGTGTTCCACTTCACCTCCCACACTAAAATGAGGAGCAATGAAATATTTATAGCAATGGAATGTTAAAACTGAAATGAGGGCTCTGCACTTCCAAGAAGGCTCTAAACTAAAGCCCGGAGATGACAGACATTTATGTGTTATAGAGAAAATGAGAAGCCCAAAAGTTTGAGCTTCTCATCTGCTCCCTCAGTTCTCGGTACTCAATGGAAGGATCTGAAAGGCTCCTTCATCTTTGTCTCTCTAGCTGGGGCCACATGGCAAATGGGAAACAGAAACTTGTATATGTCCAATTACCTGGACACATAGAGCCCCCAGTTCTGGATGAATGGAGCATTACCCCTCCCCCCACCAATTCCACAAGGCAGTGACCCAAGGGTTATGTGCTTATTGGCAAGGAGAGAACAAATGCCCTTGTAGGGAGCTGTCCACTGGTCAAAGCCAGTCACTGACAGCAAGATCAACTCATCTGAATAGAAGAAGATCCAGGGGTAAGGACGCTGAGTGTTCAGCAAAATAAGACATGCAAGAGAAAGTCATAGACCAACAGAGAGTAGCTGGGAGTCCTGGTTTGTGGGCAAAGTCAACGGTGCCCAAGACAGGTAAACTGCAAATGACCAAGAAATCAAATGAAAGGGCCTCTGCCTGGGACATTGCAGGACTCCAAGCAAGTCATCAGGACAAGGATGGAAGCACCAGAAGATGGGAGATTGATCTTGGGACCTGAGAGCAGATAGAGCTGTAGGTAGAAATGTAATCACCAGCATTTGCCCCTTTGCAGGTGGGTTACAACATCCTGGGCTGGCTGGAAAAGAACAAAGACCCCTTGAATGAAACAGTAGTGGGCTTGTTCCAGAAATCAACACTGTCAATCCTGGCCCTTCTCTTCAAAGAAGAGGAGGCTCCAGGTATGGCTGAACCCTTGTCGTGTCCAGTCTCCCTGTGCTGATGCCCTTCACCTGCCTGTGCTGGTGGCCAATATGGAAAGAAAGAAACAAAATTTTTTATTCAACTCTTGTTGGATGAATGGATGGATGGATGGATGGATGGATGGATGGATGGATGGATGGATGACATGTTCCTTGAGGTAGGGCATAGAGGATGCCACAAAGAGACACAGATGTATCAGTTGAATTGATCACCAGGCCCATATTACCTCTAGGCAGAACAATACTTCTTTGGAAAAGTTGATGCCCAAAAGCTCTGTGCTTTTTTTCTTCTCCCTGCTCTCCTTTGTCTGAGACAAATGCCAAGCCCAGCCTTGCCTCCCACAGTCCATGTTGTGTGGCCCATAGGGGAACACCCTGGGTGAGAGCTGCCCAGTAGAGCTGCCACTCATGGGGCAAGAACTGCAAACCACCCACATGCAGTTCTTCAGATGGTCTGTGGGCTCTTCCTCCTCACCAGGTAATGGGAGAAGTTTGTGCCCTTGTGCCACCCCTAAATCACAAAGGGCTATGCCCTCTCCAGGGAGCACAGCACTCCTTTTAGCCATCATGCTGCAGTGAGCCCATTGGCCCACTCCCTGGTAGATCTTATTTTCCTGGTGGGAGGACCCTGCTGTAACTCGCTCTCAAAAAAAAAAAAAAAAAGCCTTTTTAAAACCAGAGAATTTATGTCCTTGAGACAGCCCCTCATGCTGTGTACTGATGAGAAACATGTCTGTCTCTCTTCCTCAGATGGAAGCAAGAAGCAAAAGAGAGGGCCCTCCTTCATGGCAGTCTCCAATTTTTACAGGGTGAGTAAGGGCTGGCTCGGAGGCTACCTTGCATTCAGTGCACCTATCTCCCCTTTCCAGTGGTATGGTGGTCTGGCTGCGACATAACCAAGGACAGGGTGGTTTCATTTCTATGACTCTGGTTGCTTCTTGCATTCAAGGAGTTCGTTTCCTTCTGAAGGGGTCACAGAACCATGGGACTATAGAGCAAAAGAGACCCTTAGAGATGGTCCCGTCCAACCACGTCATTTCAGAGTGAAAAGAGTTGTCCAACATGGCAAATGGAGATATCAATAGCTAAGCTCTTGTGCCCTAGAGTTAGTTGGCACATCTTCTTCCACAAAGTTTGGAAAGACATCCCAAAGTGCAAAAATGCAGCCAATGGGGAGATGTTACACAAAGAAAAATTTTGCTATTTCCCAAGTATCACCTGTCTTTAGGCAGAGCGGGTTACTTCATTGAAGTATCCAAGCAGATGAGGAGGGGCCGTTTAGTAGGGAGGTTAACAATGGACAGGGGTTTGTCCACACACAGACACTATGGCTCCCTTTACTACCATGATTCTACAATGATCCAGCACTGAATTAAAAGAGGTCCTGTTTCTTGTAAGTCATGTCACCTTAGGCAAGTCAGTGGACCTTGAAGAGTACTGCTATCCAACAGAACTTTCCACAATGACAGAATGTTCTCTTCATTCCAAGATGGCGACCACTGTTGCCAATATGCTATCCAATATGATAGCCACTAGCCATGTATAGTTAGTGAGTACCTCAAGAAGGGCTCATGTGATTGAAAGAACTGAATTTTAATTTTAATTTAATTAATTAAACTCTAAATAAATACCTCTCCTGGGTGTGTATATCCTGCAACACCAATTCCAAGCTTTACTCACTATTTTTCTTTTTCCTCCAACCCTAGGAGCAGTTAAACAAGCTGATGACCACCCTCCACAGCTCTGTCCCCCATTTTGTCCACTGTATTGTCCTCAATGAGTTCAAGCAATCAGGTACATCATGGGGACATGTCTCCCAGCTGGCAGTTCTCAGGATCTGTAATTTGGTGTTTGTTCCCAATTAAGTCCACTTTCAGTAACCAGGAATGACTGGGGCTAAACAGGGTATGAAAGAATCCCCAACAATGGATAATCCACAAATTGTGTTTTTGTTGCTTTGACAGCAGAATGGTGCCCACCCAGACAGAAGTCATACTCAGGAGGGCCTTTGGGTCTTTGGTGAATTGTGAGAGACCAGGGACCCCTGGTCAATGATGGGAGAAGACTAGGGTTGATGATGTGGATACTCAGGTCAGCCTCCTTGAGTGGCAAGGAGTGGCCTGTCCCACCATAAGGTAATGACCCCCCATCTTGTGCCCTCCCTCTTGGCAGGTGTGGTGGATGCCCACCTAATCATGCACCAGCTGGCTTGCAATGGAGTCATGGAAGGTATCCATATTTGCAGGAAGGGTTTCCCAAATAGGGTGCAATACCCAGAGTTCAAACAGAGGTGAGTAATGACTCCTTGAAACCTTGAATACATCTCTCAATTTTCAGGAATTAACTACGGATAAATATCCCATTGTCACAAACACTGTAGGTGCAATGATGTATGTGGTCTCACTGTCACTACTTCAGTACTTCACTACATTGGCCTAACTTTTAACTGCCATTAGCTGTGCTTTGTTGCCTGAGGGCTTTCTCTGGCTGCTTTGCTACTTGGCAGGCTGAAAGTATCAGGAATTAATGCCTTCCCAGGTGCAGCCCTCAACCAATGACTAAGAACAATTGGCATATAAGTATCTCAGTTCCCTCACCCTCTGGAGGGCTAACTCTGAAGTGTGTCCTATACTGACTGTCAGATCAGATAGCAACATGCTGGTAAATGTTAAATAACAGGCTCTCCAGGAATTTTATTTTTTTAAGTAAGCCTTAATTTGTAGTGTCTGCCTGTTTCCATGGTGTAAATACTCCCACCATGGCTGATCTCAAGCTACCAATGTTTCATCACTCACTGAATGTGAGGTTTGAAAGAGATGCACACAACTTCTTCTTGTGAGCCAGTAGGCACAGTTTCCAGCTTGCCACTGCTCCTTGTGTCCCCAGCATGATTAAGACCCAGTTGCCTGTTGTAATAACTGGCTTGATAATATGCCTTTTATTTGCTTCCCATCCCACTTTCCAACTCTGCCACTTCCCAATTAACTACTTACACTTGAATTCCTGTCTCAGGGTTTGTTTCTGGGAGAACTCAAACCAAGATCTACTTGCTAGACCATGTGACTGCATATTGATGGAGTAGGAAGGGTCATCTGAGGTCATCTTGTCCAAGTCATCTGAAGTCCCTAACTGGGGAAGAACTTGTCCAAGACCACAAAGGGGGCTGCCGGCAGGTCAGGAAAAAAAAGTGGTTCTCCTCTCCCTGGAAGAAAAGGGAGAGTTTGGTGTCTACATTTTTATGAACACCTCCTCCCAAAACCTCCAACCCACAGTGACATTCAGTCCCCAAAATCTCCTGTCAGACCCATCCCTCTGCCTGCAGGAGCATCTGTAAAAGAAGCCTATTCCTTGACTTGAGGGAATATATCAAGGGATAACTTCATGGACATGCTTTCATGCTGCCAGCTTGGAGATGGCAATGACTGCATGATGGTTGTTATCCATCCCTCTCCTAATAGATACAAAGTACTGAACCCCAGTGTGATTCCTCAGGGGTTCATAGACAACAAGAAGGCCTCAGAGCTGCTGCTTGGGTCCATAGACCTGGATGTAAATGAATACAAAATAGGACATACCAAGGTAGGGTCTTCTGGTGGTGCTTCTTCCCTACAACATTCAGCCTTGTTTTAAGAAGGTGAGCCCCAGGGTGTGAATTCCAGATCCACCACTGGCCAGGTGCCTGTCTTGGGCAAGCATCTCAGCTAATGAGAACCTCAATTTCCTCCTCTGAAAACTCAGGGCTCATAAGGTCAGTCTCATGGGACTTGGGGATGATTAACAGTAATGTACATGAGAATCCAGCTCAAACTGGATTCTCATCTGGTCTGATCAAATATCGATAAATGGTAGGATATTTCATAGGAATGTATGTGCCCCATATTTCTAAAAACAAAAGTAGTCAATCAGAATCAAGGTCCTGGATTTGACTGGGGCACGGCAGTTCCTGTATGGTTGGAGTCTTCAGGCTAAGCACCATTATGCCAGCCCACTCACACCAAGAGCCTCAGCCTCGAGCTGACCAGTAAGTCAGAGTTGACTCAGATGGAGCAGCCACCTGATCCTGACTCATGGGGTCTGGGCTGTCTTTTGTCTGTCCCACTTCCTGATCCTACAGACTTCTGTCAAAAATATTAGGCCTAGACAGGCTAACAGTGCAAGGTGTCCATCTATAGCTACATCCCAGACTGCATCCCAACATGGGAAGAGCACTGGCTTTACAGTCAAGAGTGTCAAGCTCATAGGCTGACTCTGTGTAGCCTAGAGCAGGTCACTTGCCTCTCCAGGTCTCATGGGTGGCACAGGTGAGTGCAGCTTCTCCACGGGCCTGGTATGGCTCGATGCATGTGAAAGCTCTAACATGTGTGTGCGTCCAACACATCTGGTCACTTGGCAAAGCTCAGGGAGTGCCCCCTGTGTCCCAGGCATGATTCTCAACTCTACAGTTAAGTCAATGAACCAAACAGGTGTCGCTAGCTCCTGGGAGCTTGCTTTGTAGCACTGGGTACTAGCAGAATTATAACACTGCTGTAGAATCTGTTAGCTTCGTTCTCCTTCACAATTAACATATGATAGGTATAGTTTAATTGACTTACAGGAACACTCCACATTTGCCACACAATCATTAAATATTTGAGCTGGAGAGAACCTCAAAGACAAGCTCGTTTCCCTGCCCCACCTTTGACAGATGGGAAACATAAGAAAGCCTGAGGATGGGGTGGAGGTGACATGCCCAATTTCATAGAACCAGATGGAACAGAGCAGGCCTCATACCCTATGACTACAGGTCATGTGACCTGGAAAAATAGGGCTGACATCACCAGTATGACACAATCTGACACAGCTACCACCTGGACAAACAGACTGTATCTTGCTATTGTTCAAAGGTTGCACTGGACATCTCAGGTCCAGGTAAAGGCCTGGGTTTCTGGGGACTGTTTTGCTCCCTGAGGACCAGGCAGGCACTGGTTGCTGGGGCAGAGCAGAGAACAGGGTGATTCTGCCTGTAAACTGCATTCTTATCCCCAGTGTTGGCCCATGTGGGTCCCACACACGCTCACTTCTACTGCCTTTCAAAGACCAAACCTCAATGCCAATTAATTTTGAAATATCAAACATTTTACCCCATGATGGTTAGCTCCCTGGTTTTTTTGGAGGGTGGGGGAGGGGTGAAAGGAAGTATTCTTTTCCTGTCAGTGCCCATAGCATCCATGTAAAGGATTTAGTTGGGCACTCTACTCCCTTCTCCCGCATATAGAATCACAGATTCTCCAATCTGGGGTGACTTAGGGTCCTACACTCCCACTGTGCAGGAGGAGAGACTGAGGGCCCCAAAAAGAGAGTGACTTAACCAAGGTCACATGGACATCCAAGGCAGGCAGAGGCCAAATGCAGGTCTTCTGGCTCTTTCTATCCTTCTAGAAGTTTCTGTCATGTCCTATTAGAAGCCTATGAAAAGGTGTTACATTATGAAACACACTAATAAAGTGACCCCCTCTGTAAGCCCACTTAGAACCCAGAACTTAATCTTTGATCTCTTTCCTCGCCTTCCTCCCCACTTGCCCTGAATGTTAATGACCCCATTTCCTTTTTAAAAATAGTTTTATCACATACTCATATGGCCCAAAGTTTTGCCTGGTTTGAGCTCCACAAGGGAATCATACTAGATATATTCTTGTGTGGCATGCTTTTATCACTTAATCATGTTTCTAAGGTTCATCTTTGCTGGCTGGTATGTGACACCCACTCACTGTCACTGCCATATAATACTCCCTCAGGTGGCCACATCACAACTCCTCTATATCCCTCCTTATACATGATCCTGTGTAGGCTTTTCTCTAGAACAAATTCTCAATCTTGACTATACATTAGAGTCATCTAGGGGAAGTTTAAGAACACTGATGCCTGAGCCCTGCCCCAGAAATAGTTTGAAATCACCAATGCCCAGGTATTGGCATCTTTCCAAAGCCCTTCAGGTACAGCCCACATGCTGAGATATATGCTGAGGAGGACAGTTGTCTATTGCAGAGTGTGCAAACATCCAATTTGATGAGAGAAGACCAAGCCATTTTCCAAAATTGTTATACAAACTCACCTTCCCCTTGATCCACATCCTTGCCAAGATCTGTTTTATAAAAGTCCTAAAGGTTGCAGTGGGGGGAGGGGTGAATCGTATCTTGTGACCTAAGTTTGTATTTCTCTCAGGTTGGGTGTTTGGGGCTCTCTTTAAAATGACTTTCAAAGCTACCTTGTTTTCCCGGGCGTGAGTCCCACTGGCACAACAGTGCTAGATGCCTGAAATTGAGCGGTATTAGTACAACTCCATCTCCTTTCTAGAAAGTCAACCACTCACTACCCACCTCCAATGACCACTATCCCCTCTATCCACTCCAAGATCCCATGGGACCATGACTATCCAAAGGCTGCTGTGTATGGTGGTAAAAAGGAGAGGCCCCTTGCCACCCTGGCTGCCGGGCAATCACAGCAGCAGGGATTATAATGATCTCACATTTTACTCAGAACCTCATGGTTTACAAAAGTACCTTTCCACCTGTTATCTCAGTTAATCCTTATAGTAACCCTCTGAGAGAGATCAACATTCCCATTTCACAGAGTAACTGAGGCCCTTAGATGTGAGGAGGCATGTCCAAGGTGAGCCAGCTGGTAAGTACAAGACCAGGTCTGGAGTCTATAGGAGAATCCAAGGGCAAGAGGAACTAGACACTGAGGCCCTGCTATTGGAGGTGTCCATGCTGGGGTCAGCTGATCCTGAGAGGCCTCAAATACTGGCACCATACTGTCTCTTAACTCTGAGAGACCCTTCTGAACCTCCTGTGCTTTGATTTTAACCATCCCCCCAAGCAGCTGCCATTGGTGACAGCTGGGCTATTTTCAGATAAGAGTGCCTTTCCTGCAGGTATTCTCAGCGGGCATCCTGGCCAAGTTTGAGGACATGCGCGATGAACGTCTAGCCAAGATCATGACGACGTCACAGTATCGGCTCTGGGGTTTCCTCATGAGAGTCGAGTTCAAGAAGACGCTAGAACAAAGGTAACATATACAGACACCAATGGGGTGTGACCACAGAAGCCGCACACATCCACACAGAATGATCGGGGCTCCGTCACACACACAGTGGTCAGTCAGCTTCATTAGTGACATGGTACAGCGAGGGGAGGGGAGGACGCCAATGTCTCTGCTGGCCCAGATACCATTTTGGGGGCTATAGTAGTGTCCCAGGGCTGCTGTAACAAAGCACCACAAACTGGGTGCCTTAAAACAACAAAAACTTATTTTCACATAGTTATGGAGGTGAACAGTCTGAAATCAAGGTTTTGGCAGGCCATGCGCCCTCCGAAGGCTCTAGAGGAGGAAATTTTTTGCTTCTTCCAGTCCTGGCAGCCCCAGGCATTCTTTGGCTTGTGGCTGCATCAGTCCAATCTCTGCCTCTGTCTTTATAAGGTCGTGTGTGTGTATGTGTGTGTGTGTGTGTGTGTGTGTGTGTGTGTCCTCAAATCATCTTCTTTCTTTTTTATAAGGATACTGATCATCTTGAGTCAGGGTCCTACCCTATTCCAGTATAACTCATCTTTACTTCTGTAGTTTTATATCTGTGAAGACACTATTTCCAAATAAACTCATATTTATTCACAGGCACTGGGGTTAGGACTTCAACATATCTTTTTAGAAAGATACAACTGAATTCATAACAGGGACCACCTAATATAAACCCTTCTCTCTACAGTGTAAAAGCCACTTTCACAGCTGTCCCCTTACTTGATCCATATGATGGTGATGCTGAAAAGGGATGGGGGAGGGCCAGCACCCATATTTTATAGACGTAAAATTGATGTCAGAGGGGTTAAGGAGCTGGGCCAGGTTCATGCAGAGTCAGGATTAGAACCCAGAAATCCTCATTCCAAATCCATGCCCTCAGAATCTTGTTTTTCAGCCATCTCCCTAAAATAGTAATTAGAAAATCGTTCAGACTTCCCTGCTTGACCTGTCTCTCCCACGTTGTAGTCATAGAAATAGTAATAATAATAGTAATGGATAAATAATAATAGTACTGAAGTCCTGATATCCAGGAGCAGGCCCCCTGTGACTCCAGCTGAAGGTAGGGAGATCAGTTAGGTGCTGAGTGGTGGGATGGCAGGGCAAGCCCGCCAAGGGCCTGGTGCACAGGAAGTCATTGGTAAATGACAATCAAATGAAACTGTAAGGGGCAAGAAAGGGTGGATTCCAAAGACTCCTGATAGGAGGGATTTAGAGACTAATGGATGATTTCTAGTGAGGGAACAGAAAGAGGGGAAATGCAGGAAGAAATGAGCAGTCTGTCTCACTCAGCCTTGTGCTGTCTGGGAGGAAAGATCCTGACACCTGCATTTTAACCCATGCGACCCCCAATTTATTTATTTGTTTGTTTGTTTGTTTGTTTGTTCCCAGAATTGGCCTAAAAGTCATCCAGTGGAACATATGCAAGTTTCTGGAGCCGCGCTTCTGGGGCTGGTGGAAGCTCTACAACAAGGTGAGAGCTGAAGGCCAAGCCAGCCAGGATTGCTGCTCTCTGTGGGTGGGAAGCCTCAGTCCTAGCAGACACAAGTGCGTCTTCAGGGTGGAGAGCCATGGGATGCTGCAGGAGAAATGAGACTGCCTTGGAGACAGAGGGGTCTAGCTTCCTCCCAGAAGGGCTAACTCCTCCCTCAGAAAAATTATGTTGTGTCTTCCCACCTTTCATTTCATTCCTCAGAATAAAATACACTTAGAATGGAGGAGGCCCCACTCCCCCGCAAAATGTGGGCTTGGCTATCAGTGACTCACCCCTGGGGGTTGAATCATCTTTATCTCCTTTAGCGAAGTCCATGGCTTCAGAGCTAGAGTAACCTCAGGAAATCAAGAGACCTGATGTCTCATTTCCCAAGGCTCTTCCAAGATAGCACTGAGGGCAATGTGAGTCAGCCAGGTGATGGGACTGCAGGTGCCCCAAGCAGCCAGGCTGCCCTCAACAAATGCAGGAGGCCATGAACCAATCTACTGCATGCAGGTTGAATCACACCAGGTTATGGTGTCCCACCTGAGACCCACATTGAGAGGGAACACCTATGGGCACAAGAGGAGGCCAGATGCAGGGATGCCACATTCAGGAGACAAGAGAATGGTTGTCTCACGGGGCAGCCATGTGGAAGATTAGGACAGGCTCCAGGTCATTTCTGGTAGCCCTAGGCCCCAACAGCTCATGCAGAAGCTTCCTTCCCCTCCCATAGGGAAAGTACTCCCTAACGATTGGTACTGACAACAGATTTAAAGGGACAATAGCAAGTTCTGCATCCCCAAGTTTGCCCACACACAGGCCAGTCCTCTCAAGGGTGTGAGACTGCAGAGGATTCTAGGTGAGTATTTCTCAAAGTTCAGGCAGCCCCAGCACTTTCTCCAGCTGTCCTATGATTGACCTTTTTTCTTTCCATCAACTCATTATTTTTATTTTAAAAGGAAACTTAATTTCCTTAACCTGCTTTAATCTCATCCTAAGCAAATGTTAGCCATAAAATTATGGATTTAACAAGTTCTTTTTCATTTTAAATTTATTTTCAAAATTATTAAGTTATTACTGTTAAAAATTGTTTTTAAAGTAATTGTGTAACAATAAGAATCAAAGGATTTCAATGCAGTGTTTGAATCCTTCTCACCTGCCCCCTTTGTGTATGTATTATTGTTTGGGAGGTCCCAGACCGACAGCTTTTAAGGTCCCTTCAAGCAGAACAAAAGTGACCACAGATGATAAGGAGATAGAGCCTGTGTGACCTTTGATAGCTCTACTTCTGCTAAAACCTTAAGGTTCATCTGATCACCTGGGATCTCGTTAAAATGCAGGTTCAGATGCAGCAGATCTCAGAACGGGACCAAAACTTGCATCCTAACCAATTCTCAGGTGCTGTAGCTGGTCTAGGGATCGTACTCCTAGACAGCTCCTGTTGTACATGTCACAAAGGAGCTCAGAGCTGACCCAGCACAACCCCAGTACACATTTTTGGGGGGCCTGTCAGGCCAAGGATTGTCTGCCATCTTGGTCCCCTACAAAAGCCTGGACCTCTGACTTTGACTGGGGTCCTTTCTTTCATCAGGAGCAAGAGAACCTAATAGATGCTGAGGAACACCTGACCCAGATGATGAAGACCAAAATGGAGCTAGAGAGCCAGAACTTGGACATGCGGAAGTGGCTAGAGGAAGAGGAAGGCACAGCTGCCTCCCTGAGTGCACCAAGCACAAGCTGGAGGGGGACCTGAGTGACCTGAAGCATGACCTGGAAGGCCTTGAGACCACAGTGGCCAAGACAGAGAAGGAGAAGCAGGTGAGGAAGCCCTGGGTGAAACCATGCTCCTCTCAAGGCCAGGGAATCCCCAGTCTACTCTCCCTGTACGGGCCACACCTGGAGCCCACACAGCAGTGCTTCCCAAGATCCTAGCCACCAGACACATGGGGTTATTTTAACTTAATTCAATATATTTTAAAATGTGGTTCTTCAGTCAACTTAGCCACATTCTGAGTACTCAAGAGCCACACATGGCCAGTGCTACCATGTTGAATGAAGCAAACTGAGAACATGTCCATTGTTACAGGAAGTTCTGCTAGGCAGAGAAGCTAAGGGCACTGAGAACTCTTTCTGTCATGGTGCCATCCAGACTCAGCCCCAAGTGGTTCTCCTCAAGCCTGGGATTCCAGGTGTCTGCATTAGCCTGCTTCCCACTCAGCCTCAGCATCCCTGCCCCCTCACAGAATGTCCTACGGCAGCATGTCTGCCCTTCCGACCTTCAAAGAAGCAACCCTATCAGTATAGTGGGGCCACCTGCAGCTGCTGGATTTCCACCCAGACAAGCAGTTGCTGCCCCTCCACTTGGCTACAGGAGGAGCCCCTGGCTCCTGATACCATCTGGCTGGCCGTTGGCCCCAAGGCCCACTTCCTACCCTTGTAGGTTGTTGGCAGGGGGTGAGCAGGGGGGTCCATGAGCAGGGAAAGATAGACATGACCAAACCTGTGCCTCTCCAGCTCTAATGTGTACTCAAACCATTGGGATCCTGATAAGATGCAGGTTCTGGGATGGCAGGTCTGGCAGGACCCCAGGATCCAAGTTTCTAACACACTCTTGGTCAATGCCATAGCTGAGATCCAAGCACAAGGTTTTGAGTAGCAAAGCCTGAACTGGTGACTCTTGCTGTTATCCTCATCCCCAACATTCTGACTGGTTGGATGGGGTGTGCCCTAGGTGTTGGCATTTCTCAGGCTCCCAGGTGACTCTAGAGTACAGCCAAACCAAGAACCCTCTCCCAGAACAGGTGCCTCCGCCTCCTCTCCTTCTACCAGAGGGTATCCTGAGCCTTAAAGATCTGTCTCTCCCCCACCCGGGTTTCCAGGCCCTGGATCACAAGTTCCGCACCTTGACCAGGGACCTCTCACTCCAAGAAGATTCCATTTGCCAAGCTCCAGAAGGAAAAGAGGGCGCTGGGGGAGCTGCACCAGGTAAGTGCCACCCACTCCTTCCCCTGGCAAAGCAGGAAAATCCCAGTTTTGCCACTTCTCAGCTAGGGCCCCTCAGGGAATTTACAGAGCCTCCCTAGATCTCAGTTGCCTCATCGGTGCAATGGGCATGGTCACATGGTGGTGCCTTCCTTCCAGATTTTTTGTAAGTGGGACAACCATGTATTTTATCACCCAAACTAGGTAAGTTTTGAGGGTGGAAGACGGGCAACAGGCAGGAGTCAGGATGGCCCTTGGCACATTGGGAGGTGTGATCCCCAGAGTCATAAGAATGGAATGAGGTGTATGGAAGTGTCCTTGAGCTCTAAAGCACCAGAGAACCCTGACACATCACTGCAACAACAAGCATGAGCTCTTGAGGTCACTGGGAGACCCACTTGACTATTACGGGCTCAGACTCCTTAATGCAGAGCCAGCTCTGACCAGCCACCAGTGCTGACTGTGGCACAGAGCACCTTCTAGCTCTGGAAACACAGGAGCAAAGAGCAAATTGAAGCTCAGAACCAGACAGTGAACCCTCATCCCTGTGTTTGCTGATTCCTGAATCCACAGCATGTCCCCTGTGCTGCCTCTGGAAATACTTTATCTTAGACTGTATTTCTCAACTCTATTAAACCCAGAGCCTCTTTTTATTACAAGTACATCCAATTCTTATTATTCGAGGTAGTTATGTTCTATAAACTCATTACACACACTGAATTAGCAAATACTAGGGGAAATTTAGTGTTAGGTTCCTGCAAGCCTCTGATCACAACATTTTGTCAACCAATCAATACATAACACACACAACACAATCAATACATTATGTTGTTCTGTGTGTCTGTTTAAAGATGCTTTACATAGTATGTATTGTTTATTACTTAACATTGAACCCTCAGTCAACATGCCTGAACAAAGCTTATCTAATATACAATTTTCTCTGTAAGGCACATGAAAGCTCTCTTGTGCTTAGGAACACTAGACAGCACTGTGTTTGGGTGCTGTTTTAAACAGTGAAATCACACACCAAAAAAGCACAACAATGTGAAAAAGAACACTTGTTTGCAGTATGAGCTGAAATAAGAAGGCAGAGCATCATCTCATTTCACCTTAGCTGAAAACCCCAGGCAGCTCAAATTTTTCACCACTCTACTCATGTCTATGAATGACTGTGAAAACACCATGAGTATTGATTTGGAGGTTTCAAATAAATTTTAGCAAGCAGGTAAGTTGGCAGCTAGATAACCCACAAATAATGAGGATCAACTATTTTGGAAGGCTCTCTTACTGTCCTGAAATAAAAATTATAATGATATAACTAATATATAACTTCAAAAAATCAGTAGAGTGCCTACCCTTCAATATAAAGGAGAAATAAATGGAAAATAATTTAGAATAAAAAAGGCACTGAACATGTGTAAAAGGTCAGGCAGATCAAGTAGAAGAAAATATGAGCAGCGGCTTATCTGCCTGAGTCTGTCTCTATCAGGAGGGTGTGCTGGTGACCCAGGTAGCAAAGAGTAGCTGCTGTCACTAATGCAGTTTAACAAAATGGTGAATAACTATTGGGGAGATTTTGATAACAATACATGAATCTTTTCTCAGTTTTCATGGTAGTTAATTCTGTAAAAATAAAGTGTATAATAAATGAAAGCATTTTTAGAGTTATATGTAAAAAGTGGTGGTGGGTTCAGATTCAGAAAAGGATAAATGGTTGTTTTATTTACATGAAAGTGGGACGTCAAGCATGTGGGCTGTAGAATTATTCTTCAAGGTGTTGGATTGTCCAGAGCAAGGCAAAATGTCCAGCCTCCCTGGAACTATTCACTAGTGCCAGTGTGGTCCCCAATCATTGCAACAACCAGAAGCCCCGCAGAGATTTTCATATGCTCTGTGGAGAACCAGAGCCCCACTACTGACCTGAGGGCCTACCTGCTGCTGATGGGTGCTCAGGTCTGCCCAGGCCTCACCAAGCACCCAGGAGCAGGTGCTTGGTATCTAGTCACTGAAGTCAAGTCAACTCTGCTCAGAAGTAATAGCAGAGAACTAGGTCTTATCAGCTGCTCCTGCATCGTGCGACACACATCTGTATGTTTCCTTCCAGAAAACCCTCGATGACCTGCAAGCTGAGGAGGACAAGGTGAACCACCTGACCAAGAGCAACAGCAAACTCAACACTCAGATCCATGAGGTAATGCCCCACAACTGGGCCAACAGCTCAAGGGCCAGGTCCACACTGGAGTACATGGTCCTCAGATACATTTTGGGAACTGGACTGACACATCTCCCATAGAAGTGAGGGACTCTCTGATGCCACAGCTAAGGAACCAAGCCCAGCCTAATTTTTTATTGTATTCTGACCTGAAACTCCCCCCATTCTACTTTCTCTTGCTTTTCTTGTTTCCACAGCTGGAGGATAACCGGGAACAGGAAAAGAAAATCTGGGCAGAGGTGGAAAAGGCTCGTTGGAAGGCTGAGAATGACTTGAAAGTGACCATTGATGATCTCAACAAGATGGAGCAGTCCAAGCTAGATCTCAAGGAGGTGGTGAAAAAGTACACCTGTGTAGTCACTCATCTGTAACAATATTGGCAATATCTAGCACTTTCTGGATGGTGCTAGGTGCCAGGCACTTGCTGAGGGCTTCACATGTATCCATGCCTGTAGCCAGCATCTGCTACATGCCAGGCAATGTGCTCAGCATGGAGGATACAAGGAGAAAGAAGTAGGTGCTGCCCTGTCTGCAGGAAGCTCCCAGACTCAGACAGGGCCTACTGGACAATGAAAAGGAGACTGGTATCGAGCAATGCATGCATTCTAGAGGGTAAAAGTTTATAGAACTCTATATGCTGGGCTCTCGAAGATCACAAGCTGAGGGGTTATTTTGTCAATATCACTCTGGCAATAACATGGAGGAAAGGTGGAATGGAGAAAAACTAACAGAAGGAAAACAATTAAGAAACTACTGCAATAGTCCAGGCATAAACCTGAACTAAGTTAGAGTATGAGGGGATGGAGACAAGGAATCATGTAAGGAAAAAGGAGTAGAATTTGGACAATGCATCTTCAAAGTATATTTTTCTAAGGCAGTTTTAAAGCACACAGACCTCCATGAAGGGCATATGCAACAAAATCTGCATTTCAACACGTTTCTTCCGTGGCACACCCAGAAGGTGCATGTGACCTTGCCCATCCTCCTCACTCACTTGGTCTATCCTCTTGGTGTTCATTCATGCATGACTCCTTGACACATTGAACTCACACATCAGAAGGAGACAGACTTTTGTGGAAAATTTTCCCCAAAAAGGCAAAGCATTAATGCAGTTCTGGAGCTTCTAGAATGTAAACTGCACCAGAGCAGTGATTTCTGTCTAGTTTGTTCATTGACATAAACATATGTCAAATTAATAAATGCATGAGTGAAATAATAAGGGAATGAAAAGCCTGTGGAAGATTCTGAGACTCTCTAGGATGAGATCTTCTGTGCCATCACCCCAAAATGCCAGGGGTTAGGGAGCAAGTAGTTTTCAGCAGATTTAAGACCTTCTCTGGCAGCCCAGTCTCTGTTCACTGGCCAGCTTGCTGGTCTACCCTAAGAGCTTTTTTTTTTTTCCCCTTCAGGAGATCAAATCTTCTTTTGCAGGAAGGATATGGAAATCAATTCTGTCAACTCTAAATATGAGGATGAGCAGTCTCTGAATTGCACACTGCAGTGGAAACTAAAGGAACACCAGGTATCCACAGGACTGAGGAGACTGAACTCACCTTTTGAGGTTGACTTCTCTGTACCCTTTGTTTACATCAGCCGATTGCCTCCTAAGTTTTCCTGAAGAGCGAGATTGCCACAGAGTCCTTGGAGAATGACCCATGTTCACCTCACTCCGGGTTAAATTCAAAGTCCTTCCAGTGGTTACAAGGCCCTCCACAATCTAGCCCCTATTCCCTCACTGACCTCATCCCCCATCATTCCCCCCACCATGCTGTCCAGCAATGCTGGCTCCTTGAGGGGACTCACATACACCTTAGTTCCCTCTGCTTTTGACAGTGTCCCTCACATGTTTAGCTCCCTTTAATTACCTCCATTTTAAAAGTCCAAGTGGGTAAGTTTCTAAGTTCACACAGGAAACATAACCCCCCTCAATGCTCTTCTTCTGTTTATTGGTCTGGCAGGCCCGAATTGAAGGACTGGAGGAAGAACTGGAAGCTGAGAGGGCAATGAGAGCCAAGGTAAGAGACATACTTTTTCTACCTTTCTTGAGTCAAAGGACCTAATGACAGCTACAATCCAACCATAAGCAGAAAAAGAGAGGAGGACAGGTTTCCAGTTGAAAATGCTTGTTTCTTGAGCACCTACTGTGTGCCAAGCACTGTACTACATGTAGACATTGATTATAACATCTGATGTGGGACCAAGGAGAGGAGGCTGGTTCTGCCTGGGGCAGGTGGAGGAGACAACATTAGCCTGTGGACTCGAAGACTGAATTCAACAGGCTGAGGCAGGGAGGAATGAAATAGCACCTACCTGCACAGGTACAAAGGTATAAAAGAAAGAGCAAAGAGTAGAGGGAAGGTTGAAGGCAGAGATCCTACTAAAATAAGGCCAGAAAACTGGTGGGAAATAAATCATAAGACACCTAAACTCCAGATTCAGCCAAACTGGGCTGGGAGGTAGGATGGGCACTAGGGCCCAACCAGTGCAGGGAGGAAAGACAGCGTCCTTCACTGAACATGTAGGGAGGCAGAGAGAGTGCAGAGCTCCCCAAGTGCAGGCTCTTGGCCTCACAGATACCTGCAGAAAAAGGGGCTCATGGATGGCTTCTCTGGGTATCATTCGCTCTCACCCCAGGTGGAGAAACAACGCAGTGACCTGTCCCAGGACCTCAAAGACCTCAGCGACAGGCTAGAAGAGGCTGGGGGAGCCACATCTGCTCAGGTACCATCCTTGGGAGCCTTGGGAACCCCAATTCCTGACTGCCTGCAGGGAAAAAAAAGTGCTGTATGACAAACAATGAGATAAAGACCAGTTAGTTTTGCTGAATTCCTGAGGCTAGCATAAGTAGAAACCCATTAGTAATAAAGAGTAGGCAAGAGAGGGACTGGTTTGGTCCACTTCCTTTTGGGGCTCCTTAGTTCAGCAGCGCTAATGGAAGCAGGATTTGGATTGAATGCAGAAGGTGGGTATTCTAAAATATAGTGTGTTAAAAGAGAATTTGAGGTAAAATAAAGCAGAAGATGAGGAGAGGACTGCTACTGAAGACATGCAGTTGACCTTGAACAACACAGATTTGAACTGCACGAGTCCACTCACACACGGCTTTCTTTCAATTGACCCCAGTTAATTGACCTGTGCAGTTCAAACCTGCGTGGTTCAAGGGTCAACTGTAGTTTGTTACAGTTATCAGGAGGAGGGGGCATGCCAGGCAGAGCCACACAGGGAAGCACCAGGGTCAGTCAGGAGGCAGAGGGAGGGGAAATTGTGGGCAAGAGCCTTTATTATGGTTTCCAAGGAAGGAACAAGCAAGTTGGAGCAGGCTTAGGTTGGCTAATTCAAATAATTTCAGAGGGCTCTGGGGCATAGAGTGCAACTCTGGTTGTCTGGTACCTACCCTGGGTGATTAGAGCAAGTGAATAATGGTTGAGAGTATGAGAGCAATATACAGAGGAAGGGGTTGGAGATGTGGGCTCTAGATTGGTTCATTTATCATTGAAATTGAATTGTTCGCTACCTCTAGGGAATAGCTAATCCTGAGAGGGGGCCGTCTTTTGGTGGTCAGCAAAGCCCCAGATGCCAGAGCACAAGAATACAGAAAATAAAGACAAGGTTACTATGGTGGGGTGACCCCACACTCCAAGAGCACCCACAGACAGGCAAAGGGGGGCTGGAATCTGAACTGTGCCTCCTGGGGTGGAATGTATCTTTCTCTAATCACATGAAGGCATCATAGAGACCTCCTCCAGCTCCTTGCTTGGCGGTCTGTGGTGCTTTAAAACTACCTTAGAAAAATATACTTTGAAGATGCATTGTCCAAATTCTACTCCTTTTTCCTTACATGATTCCTTGTCTCCATCCCCTCAGACTCTTAGTTCACATGATACTCTCCTAATTTCATGTAGTCAGCTATCTTGCAAATGTGGACCCTGGGTCAGAGCAGAGAGCAGAAATAGAGTCTCTTATCACTGGAAGGCTGATCATCTTTTCCTGTGGCCCCCTGGACTCCATGTCCTGCTCTCCCATCATCCTGGCCACAGTCTGCTCCTTGGGGACCTGGTCTGAATCAGGTAACCAGCTGTGGCTGGATCCTGGCAGAAAACAAAATCATCCCAGATAGATTGAATGAGGGGCATTAACAAAGGGACTACATCTAGCAGTGCAGGGAGTTAAGAGGACAACAGGGAGCCATGAGAGCAAAAGCTGCAGATAAGGGGCTGCCTGGTAGGTTCCTTCTGAAGCCTCTGAGAGAGAATCTGTCGTAGGCCTCTCTCCCAGCTCCTGATGGTTTGCAGGCAATCTTTGCTGCTCCTTGCTTGTAGCTGCATCATCCAGTTTCTGCCTATGTGGTCACATGGCCTTTATCCTGTGTGTCTCTCTGGGTCCAAATCTCTCTCTTCTTGTAAAGAAAACTAGTCTTCAGATTAAGGCCCACCCTAATCCAGTATGACATTTTAATTGGTTTGCATGTGCAAAGACCCTATTCCCAAATACGGTCACATAAGGTATTGGTGTTAAGATTTGAACATATCTTAAACACACAATACTATCTAAACAAATCCTATGGGCAACCCACCCAGAGGCTTAGGACTGATATTTCAATCAGGACATCTCATTAGTGCTGTGCAGGAATATCAGAGGACCGTTGATCAGATGGGCAGTATCCACCCCAAGGAGGCCAGTGCCAGCCAGTCCTGCTAAGCCCTGTTTCCCCTCTACCCCAGATTGAACAGAATCACAAGAGGCCAAGCTCCTGAAACTGCAGCAGGAGCTGGAGGAGGTGGCCCTGCAGAGCAAGGCAACAGCCTCCACACTTCGCAAGAAGCACACAGACTCCATAGCTGTGCTGATGGAGCATATAGAGAACTTGCAGAGGGTCAAGTTCAAGCTGGAGAAGGACAAGCAGGTCATGAAGGTGGAGATTGACGACCTCAATGCCAGCATGGAGATTGTGCAGAAGTCCAAGGTGAACTTCTGCAAGTTGGAGGAAGCTGGAGGAAGGGAAGCCCCGCCCCCAGAGCCACAGGAACACACCCCGGCGTTGGCTCCTGCACAAATATTTCCTGAGCTCCCAGCAAGTCCCAGACATGTTTTAAATGGAACCAAGGTGAACCTGTCACAGACCCCATCAACTACACATATAACCTTGGCCAAGTTACATGACCTAACTGTGCCTCAGTTTCCTCATATGTAAAATGGGAATAATAATAATCCCTACTTCACAGCACCATGGTGAGGGCTATAAAAGTTGCTAGCACATAAGAAAAGCTCAATACAAGTGTGTTATTAAGATTATCATTACATTAATATGAGTATATCTTGAAGGAGCTGGAAACCTGGGAGGCTACACTAGGAGAACTCAGGTGGGAAACAGGGAGGGCCTGGCCTGGGTTCCCCTAGTACATGCAGCCTGGCCCCATTTCCCCACTGAATGCGTTCTTCCTGAGCAGATGAATGCCAAGGCCCATGTCCAAAAGCTGGAAGATAGCTTAGCAGAAGCCAATGCCAAGGTGGCCTAGCTGGACAGAAACCAGGCAGAAATCAATGCCATCAGGACCTGCCTGCAAGGTGAGTTCAGTCCCCATTGCAGTTTCCTAAGGAACAGTGTAAGGAACAGAAGAGGGACCTGCAAGCAAACTGAAAGAGTACCTAGACCCTCTCCCCAGAGCTTTCTTAGTTTTGGAAAATTCACATCCTCTTTGATGAGATAAGGAGATTTTATTTTATCCTCTGAGTGTTCCAAGTCATGGTTTGAGAGTGTAAAATAGGGAACCAAATCAGTTCTCTCAACCGCCCTGTGAGATCAGCAGGAAGGGCAGCCATACTGACACTTTTTAAACATTTTAAAACATGACCCACATACTAACATAAAGAAAACATTTGTCACTAATCAGGGAACCAGAAAAATAGTAACGCTGCCTTTGAAGAGCACAGGGGGCTGAGATTTATTGATGCATAGTCAGTGGGGAAAGGAATGCTTAAGGAACTCTGCTAAGTCAGATGTAAAACTGGCTAATGTCCTGCAAGACAGCAATACTGCAACCTCTGGGTTTGGTTTTGTTTTTTGTTTTTCTATCAGAAGAAACCCTTTGCATCTCTAGGACTTAAATAATTTGGAACTTACCACTATACAGGTTGATACATAACTTTGCAGAGGCTGGCTCTAACCAGAACAAACAGTCCAAAAAAAGTGCATTCCCTGAGAGAACCTAACACTCCTTAGGTGAGCCAGTTAGACAAGCTCCAGCATGACACCAGAGAACCTTCAGGCATCCTTTAGCCTTATTTCCCACATCCTGAATACATTTGAAAATCAATACCCCATTTGACAGATGAGAAAACTGAAGCTCAGTGAGATGAAGAGACAAATCTAATGACTTGCAGAGCCAAACCAGAAGCTCTCTGACTCATGCACCACTTCCTGGCCTCTGGCCCCAGCAATCAGTCCACAAATGACAGGAGTGTAGTAGGTCTTGGGACTGTGACATATATAGTTTAGAAAGTAAACACTCTGCTCCACTGTCTTCTCCAAACTCCGTTGCTGTATCTCCAACCAGGGGTCAGGGCTTCATTAGATGAAGCTTTTTATCCCATGCAAGTCACTTGGAGGCTAGCAACTCTAGGGATCTTGCTCCAGTGCTGGGATGACTTAATCTGGGTGGCTGGTGTGGTGGTCACTGTGCTCCTTGTCCCAGCTCAGTTGGCCACACCACTGTATTTACTGGGTACTTTGGGAGCAATGCCCTGGGGGAGCTTAGGATCTGGGCTGAGGAGCTAGATCTCCATCCAATATTTCTCCCATTTCCTTCTCGCTCAGCTGAAAACAGTGAACTGAGCCAGGAATATGAAGAATCCAGAGGTGACTCAATCAAATCCTGTGGATAAAGACATCGCTGACATCACAGGTGGACAGTTACAAGAGGCAGCTGGATGAAGAGTCCAAGGTTGGTTTGGGGGTGGGATGATGGTGACAGAGCTGGCTCCTTGAAAAAATTTATAGGTTATAAAGATACAGAAGGAACATGAAAAGTCCCACTAGAAAGTAAAAAAGTTAACTACAAAACAGAAGTATGCTATGTGTAGGACTAAATGGAATTGTGTATCTGTGGACAGTAATCGGAAAAAAACAAGGAAAATAAATCCTGATGACTAGGATTATAGAATCATGTGTCTTTTCCTCCTTAAGTTGCTGCACTGCTGATCCAACATTACAAATATCTAAGTGCTGGCCCTGGGGGGCATGGAGGGACCAATGGGCCTCTGACAGGTTCGTAGGGTCCCCCACAGTCTCGCAGCACAGCTGTGGTGAGTCTCACCAGCGCCAAGCATGACCTGGACCTGCTGAAGGAACAGCTGGAGGAAGAGCAAGGAGGGAAGTCAGAGCTGCAGAGCCTTGTGTCCAAACTCAACACTGAGGTGACCACCTGGAGGACCAAGTATGAAACTGATGCCATCCTAAGGACCGAGGAGCTGGAGGAAGTGAGCTCGCTCTGTGTCAGGAGAGTGGAGAAGGCTAAGTGAGCGGGTGGGTGCTGGTGATCTCACCATCAGCCACAGCTGAGGCCAGTGCCATGCCCAGGAAAAGGCTGTTCATGGGCTCCTGTAAAAAGTGGGGATGAGTATCTGGACAGGGGAGCCCTCTGCCTACCCTGCCAGTCTTCAGGTTCCATATTTAAGGGCTCCCTTATCTACATCCTCTGCCTTGAAGCACTCAGGCTCAGACAGGGAAAGTAGAAGCAGGGGCTCCTTCTCTGGGAAAGGCTTCTCTGCCTCTGAAGGGTGTAGGAAGCCTCCACAGGCCTGGTGGGTCCAGGACAGGGACTCTCTGTGATACTGGCGGTACACAGACTATACTCAATCACAAAATTCCCACTCTGCCTTTCCTCAGCCCAGTGGTAAAGGTCCTCAATTCCTTTGAGCTTATTCCTTGTTCACAAACTAGAGAAGTAGATACTCTGCTTGCCAGGCTGAGGAAATAAAAGTGGACATGACATGAATGTGTCTCTGAGTTGCCCTCTTGCGTAAGAAGAAGCTGCTTAGGTACCCATTGACCCACACACCCAGGGAAGCCCTGCATGTGAGCCACCCTGTGCCAGGAATGAAGGGCACCCCAGCCTGCTTGCTGTGTCTTCCACTCACTAGAATTTGTGGTGACAGGACAGCAATAACCACAGTGCCTTCCGACTGACACAAATCTTTTATTTAAATCTCTTCATATATTGAGCCTAAATCTGCCTTCCTGTCATTTCCACCTCCTGCCTTTCAGTCCTTTTCTACTTTCTATTGAAAGCTGCCTGGGAGCTGCCTGCTCTCACTCTGGACTAAACCTAAATCTCAGTCCCTCATCTTTTTCTGCCTGGTACCTCTTCCCCAGATATCCACAGGGCCCCTGCCCTCCCTCCCGCAGATCTTTGCTCATGTGTCCCCTTCCCTGCTTTATTTTCTCCATAGTGCTATGTCTATATGTTGTGTATTGTGTGTCCCAGTACACACAATATGAAGACAGAGATTTAGAGTCTGTTTTATTTACTGCTACTTCCCTAATGCCTAGAACAATACCTGGCACAGAAGTATTTGTTGAATTAATGAATGGACAGTGGTTGCTTCCTCTAAACACTCTACATTCTGCCTGCATCTTTTCCATCAGGACACCAGATCTCAGCACCACACTCCTGGCCCCACTGCCTGTGGGCTCCTATGTTTCCTTGACAGCCCCTCTTGCCCTCATTCACAGGAGAAAACTGGCTGCCAGGCCCCAGGAAGCAGAAGAGACAGCTGAAGCCGCCCAGGCAGGGGCTGCGTCCCTTGAGAAAAATAAACAGAGACTCCAGGCAGAAGTTGAGAACCTCACCATTGACTTGGAAAAGGTCATGGGGTAAAAGGTTTAAAGGCTGCCTATTTGCCAGGTCCAAGGGCCCACAGGCATCGGGATGAGACTTAGCACATGTCTGTGTGATCAGGAAGAAACAGTGGCCCATGAAAATAAAACATAGGGTTTGTATACAGGCCCACTGGACATAGGCTCTTGCTTGAATATGTGTTTATATGTATTCATAATTCCAAGATCTTAACACTCAACAAGCCACTATTTAAATACATCCATGACAAGGATAAAACTTAATCCCAGCAAGTCATGTAACTGTTCCCTTTTGTCTCACAAAAACCACGTCCCACGCAGTTTGTATGGCTAAGTATTCCTCTTTGCATCCCTGATTCGGACTGATTTGCCTATCTCCAGCTGAATTACATAAGATTTCCACTGCACACACCAACCTGGTCTTGGTCTACACAGGACCATTTCTTCATGCCATCTGTGAGGGGCAGAAAGTCACATCCACATGAAAGGCTTCAGAAAAAAAGTTCTAAAACCCAAAAAAGGGTTTGTTCCTCTCAAATTCAAAATTTAAGCCGAAATTTATAAAATCTAACCTTGCTTAGCAGCAAATACATAGTTGCCAGGCAGTTATGAAAAAGATCAAAGGTGTATGAAAAACAATGTCTAAAATTAATCAGCTTTGACTCACAAGAAGAATACCAAACTTATTTTTGAGTTGGACAATGGTGTATAATGTATATTATTAGTACATTTTAGAGAAATACATTGCAGGGAATTGGGTGAATGTCATAAATCTGGGAGAGATGTTGTGCTCCAGATAATTCATTTTATACCTAAAATAATTCTAGCCTAGGAAGATAAGGTAGACTGCCAGAGACCATATCTAGTAGCAGAAGTTTCAGAACTGGAATGTAGCTCTTTCCAGTCTCCCTACTCTGTGTTTGTGCCATAAATGTTGAATTATATCCCAATGCCCAAGAAGTCAGTAGTCACCAGAATTACTGGGGAAGGAAAGCAAAGGCAGGGAGGGGGCAGAAGGAGGGGAAAGGGCAGGGAAGTCAGACCCTCAGAGACTATCCCTAACTCTCCCTAGGCCAGTGCTGCAGCTGCTGCCCTGGACAAGAAGCAGTGGGCCTTTGGCAAGAGGCTGGCTGAGTGGCAGCAGAAGTGCAAGGAGCTGCAAGTGGAGCTGGACAGTTCACAGAAAGAGTGCCGCATATACATGACTGAGAGTTTCAAGATCAAGACTGCCTACGAGGAGTCCCTGGAGCACCTCAAGTCAGTGAAGAAGGAAAACAAGACCCTGCAGGGTGAATCTGAGGGCAGGTGGGTAGGCCTGCAGGGACAAAGACACAGACAGGGCCTCCTTCCTCCCAAAGTAGTTCACATCGTGGGTTTAGCACTTGGCACACAGTAAATGCCCAATAAATGTTTGTTGACTAGCTGGCAAGTGCTTTGTAGAAGCATTGGAGCATTCAGTAATATAATTTTAGGCAGGTGAGTTAAGTTTTCTGTGCCTTAGTTTCCTCATCTGTAATATGTGGAAATAATACTGCCTTCCTTGTAAGGTTACTGTGCCAATGAAATAGGGTAAAATATGCCATGTCTTCACATAGCAGAGTAGCTGGCACAAATAAGGGCTCAATAGATTTTATCTGAGCCCTTACATCTGTCATATGTAAATAATATATGTATGCATATATATTTATTACATATAAGAGCCTTGGGGTGGAATTTGAGAACTGGGGGTGTAGGGCGGGTGCCGTGGGGAGTGTGTCTCTAAGAAGGGAAGGCCTTGAACATAAAACTGACAGATTCTGGGAGTCTTGTGCACTGTCCCTAAAGCTACCCTGTGCTTGTTTACTCTTCTCTGGGCTTCAGCCTCTCATCTATAAAAAGAGGAGCTTGGATCCACTGTTCTCCAATGCGTAAGCCCTGATGCTCCACAGGTCTATGACCTGTGTCATAATATGTGGAGTGTATTGCTTCTCTTTTGATACAGGGAGGCTAGGAGTGCCTGCTTCTAGCCCCAGTGGAGGAATGTCTGTGCTACATATCACCACCCTGGGACACTTGTAGTTCTCACGTACCTTATTAACAAGAATATTTTTTTTCTCAGAGGAGGTAAAGGAACTTATTGATCAGCTGGGCGAGGGAGGGCGAAGTGTACATGAGCTGCAGAAGTTGAAGAAAAAATTGGAGATTGAAAAGGAAGAACTCCAGGTGGCCCTAGAGGAAGCTGAGTCTTCCCTGGAGGTAACCTCATGGCTCTCTCTTCGGGGGCTGAATATTTGGCTAGGGACTGCACACCTGCTTAGCCAGAAAGACTGACATTTACATTCCTGGCAGGTTGAAGAAAGCAAGGTGATTTGAATTCAGCTGGAACTGGCTCAGGTTAAAGCTGACATAGACCAAAGAATTCACGAGAAATAAGAATTTGAAGCTACAAGGTACAGTGCTGACAGGATGGGAGGCTGACAGCATAATGGAGCAGAGCTCAGAAACATGGCCTCTACCACCTGCTAGTCATGTGACCTTAGGCAATTTAGCCGAACCTCAGTTTCTGCATCTGTTAAGTGGGAATAATGGTAGTAGTACCTTATACAGATGGGGTTTACAAACACTTTGAAATGTTGTACCTTAGTGATTCATCATGAAACCCCATGAAATAGTAATCCATTTCAAAAATGGTCAAAGGACTTGAATAGAGATTTCTTCCAGAAGATATACAGATGGCCAATAAGCATATGGAAAAATGCTCAAAATCACTAGTTATTAGGAAAGTCCAAATCAAAACTATAATTGCCATATTTTGCCTTCTATAATGCACACCCATGTTTTTGTGCACATTATACATAAGATTATTATGCCCATTATTATACCCATGGTATATAATCATTATACCCATGTATAATGCATATCCTTATTTTTACATCAAAAATTTGGGCAAAACAGTGTGCATATATATGGCAAAATACAGTAGATACCACCTCACACCCATTACAAGGGCTACTATCCAAAAAATAGAAAATAACAAGTGTTGTGCACTGTGGTGGGAATGTAAAATGGTATGGCTGCTGTGGGAAACAGTATGGAGATTCAAAAGTGGGCAAAGGACTTGAATAGACATTTCTCAAAAAATTTAAAATAGGATTACCATATGATCCAGCAATTCCACTTCAGATATATACCCAAAAGAATTTAGAGCAGGGTCTAAAAGAGATATTTGTACACCCATTTTCATGGCATCATTATTCATAATAGCTAAAACATAGGAAGCAACTCAAATGTCCATTGACAAATCAAAAAACATGATATATACATACAATGGAATATTATTTAGCCTTTAAAAGGAAGGAGATTCTAATACACCAGACAGCATAGATAAACCTTGAGGTATTATGCTAAGTGAAATAAGCCAGTTATAAAAAGGACAAATATTGTATGATTCTACTTATATGAAGTTCGTAGAGTAGTCAAAATCATAGAGACAGAAGGTAGAGTGGTGTTTGCCAAGGGCTGGGGGGAGGGAGGAAATGAGGGAGTTATTGTTTAATGGGTACAGAGTTTCAGTTTTATAAAATAAAAAGAGTTCTGGAGATGGATGGTGGTAATGGTAGCACAGCATTATGAATGTATTTAAAACCACCAAACTGTACACTTAAAAGTAGTTAAGATAGCAAATTTTGTCACGTGTATTTTCCACAATAAAAAAAAAAACTGAAAAAAATCTGTGAGATATGTCATAAAGATTAAATGAAAATAAAGATATGAAAGCATGTTGTAAGAAGCCCAATGACTCTACAACAAGTAGGCTGAACCTGAACTTCACCCTAAATTTCTAGCTATGCCACTATGTGGTATGTGTGTATGTGTGCAGGTAAAATGGGATGTTTGTGTGTATGACTGCAACAGCTTTATTAAGATATAATTCACATACCACCCTGGCTGGTGTTGCCCAGTGGATTGAGTGTTGGCCTGTGAACCAAAGGGCTGCTGGTTTGATTCCCAGTCTAGGGCACATGCCTGGGTTGCAGACCAGGTCCCCAGTTGGGGAGGCAAGAGAAGCAACAAGATACTAACATTTCTCTCCCTCTCTTTCTCCCTCCCTTTCTCTCTCTAAAAATAAATAAATAACATCTTTTTAAAAAAGATATAATTCACATATCATACAACTTACCCATGTTAAGGAAAAAATTCAATGGTTTTTAGTTGTGCAACTATCACTGCAATTTTTAAAACATTTTCATCCCCTCCCCAAAGAAATCCCACATCCTTTAGCAGTCATACCCCATTTCTCCCCACTACCACCACTATCCTATCCCCAGCCCTAGGCAACAACTAACCTACTTCCTATTTCTTTAGCTTTGCCTATTCTGGATGTTTCATCTAAATGGAATCATAGAATCTGTGGTCCTTTGTGACTGGATGCATTGAATCCTGTCTTAATATTAAGACATGAATGTCTTTCTATTTATTTAGGTCTTTAATTTCTTCAACATATTTTGTGGGTTTTGCTTGTATTTATTCTTAAGTCAAAGTGAATCCCAATTTTGTTTACATTTGAGAATATCATAATACCCTTGCCCATATCTGGAAATTGAATACACCTCAAGGTGCTGCAAATCTAGCAACATGCCTGAGCACAGTGGGTGTTCATGGGTGAAGGAGAGGTAGACAGTGTGGGGCAGGTGGCAAGATCTTAATATGCTAATCATTTGTTTGCCTCAATTAAGTGTTTTTTTTAACATCTAAGTGATCTCCTCTGGTCACCTCCTATATAAAAGGAGATTAATACAGCCTTTATGAGAGCTTTATGGAAATGTTTATTATGTTGATTACAATATAATTGATATATATTAAATACAGTTAATAAATGACTGTTGTTTTGAAGAGAGATATATATCTAACTTGTATAGCCAAAACTCATACTTTGTAATGAATAAAACAGATACCTTGGCACCTGGATTTGAATCCAACTCCATTGTGGGCTAAATGGTATGTTTTCTTGCAGGACTCTTTTGCATGTTAAATGAATTGAGATCACAAAGATATGTGGTAAACATTAACTTTCCATTCCTTTTTCCAAAGCCTGATGCTCCTTTACTTAAATAATTTAAAGGAAGACAGTTTAATTTTTCAACTTTGTGGACATACCCATGTTGATACTCAGAGACCTTTTATCTAGGGAGGTGGTTTAGCATAGACTGAACAGCAGGTCCAGTACTCCAAGGCCTTCTCTGCTTGGACTTACAGGAAGAACCACCAGCAGACCATTGAGCCTTTGCAGGCCAGCCTTGATGCGGAGGCCAAGGGCCGGGCAGAGGCACTTCAGCTCAAGAAGAAGATGGAGGTTGACCTAAATGAGATGGAAATCCAGCTGGACCATGCCAACAAGAACAACAGTGAACTTGTGAAGACACTGAAAAGGCTACAACAGCAAATCAAGGCAGTGATCTGGGAGGGAGAAGAACTAATCACAAATCAAGCCAACCCCATGCCTGCAGGCTTATAGGAAGCTAAAACCATGCATGTCTTCAGCTAGGATAAAGGCAGGAGAGTGAGAACATGGGGTGGCGGGCAATCCAGGGAGCAGGAGACTTGGAAACTGTATAAATGAGAGGCCCCAGTCACCAAAGTCCATATCCTGGACCACTGGAACATGGGGAAAAGGAGGAAAAAAGGAAGTTGGACCTATTTTGATTTTTAAAATCATTTTTTACTTACTATCAATGATTTCAGACATAGAAAAATAAAAAATATAAATACCCATGTACCCACCACTTACTCACCTTAAGAACTAAACACAAATACAGTTGAAGTCCTTTATCACTCTTCATTATCAGGCTTGTCTTTAAAGTATGCATAGCTAGAGCCACACATTCAAAACATGTTTATTGTAGACCTCCCCTGTCCAGGTGCTAAATTAAGTGTTAGAGGATGGAGAATGGACAAAACAAAAAATACCTCAGCAAATAAACAATAAGCGACACGTAAATAAAACTGTTGTACTAAGAAATGGTAAGTGCTGTGGAGAAATAACAAGACAGGGGAAGGAAGATGGTGATTAGCTGGGGTGGGTGTAACTGTCAAAGGTCATTGAGGAAGGCCTCATTGAGAAGGTCCTGCTGTAAACATCAGGTGCTCCGTCATCTGTAAAGCCCTGACCTCATGCTGACTACCCGCTGGACAAATCCTCTGGTCACCTGGGCCATGATGCAGCTACACCTCAACTAGGCTGTGAACTCCCCAAGGGCAAGTCTGCACTTCACACTCTCTTCTTCTGTGGCCTCCACTTCCCCACCACCCCGACCCTAGCACCTTTCTGAGCCAGCTCTGTGAAGGTCATACCTTCAATCCTAGCCAGCCCCAGGCTGTGCCACGGCCTGTAAGATGGGCTCAGATTGTGTCCTCCTGCTCCCCCAGGACCTGCAGGTCCAGATGGATGAGGATGCCAGGCAGCATGAGGAGCTGCAGAAACAGTAGAACCTGCAGGAGAGGCGCCCAAACCTGCTGCAGACAGAGCTGGAAGAGGTGCGTTCAGCCCTGAAGGGCAGTGAGCGCTCTTGCAAGCTGCTAGAGCAGGAGGTGGTGGTGATCACAGAGCGACATAATGAGGTCAATGTCCAGGTAAGATTGTGGCTCCCTGGGGGGTGCCCTGCAAACACACTCACGGTGCCAGGGCGAGCCAAGAATGATGCCCAAAACTTATGCGCTCCCCTCAAAACTCAGAATTAGCTAGTGTCCTCATTCCTCAGGGCCTCAGAACTCACCTGCAGAGCTTTTTTTTTTTTTTGGTTTGTTTTTGTTATAAGTAATAGTAACATAAAATGTACCATCTTAGCCATTATTCACTGCACAGCACAGTGTGTTAACAACATGTACACTGCTGTGTAGAGCTTTTAAAGACAGACTCCCAGAGTCTCCCCTGGAGATTCTGATGCAGTGGGTCTATGGTGAGACCACGGAAGTCTGAACTTTTAGAAACTCCTCAGAAGATTCTGATTATTAAGCCAATTTTAAGAACCCCAGTGTAGCTGAGGCTACAATTTCAGAACTTGAAGAGATCCAAAATATTTCAAAGTCTGACATTCCTTTACAAATGGAAAAACATGGCCCAGAGAGCTGAGTGGTTTATCCATTGTCAACACTGGGGAGCCCTGTCAGCTACTAATGATAACACTAGTACTGCTTACTACTCACAGTGCAATCCTTTACCAGCATGGCTTAATCCTTACTCATTATCTCATTTGAATTCACCAAAAGAAAAATGTGTATGGGACATGCAGAGATTATCCCACTTAGAGACAAGTTAACCAAAGCCTAGAGGTAAGGAACTTATCCACATAGGTCGAAGTACACAACCTTGAACCTGGGTTTTCCCACCTCTGCGTTCAGGATTGTTCTACAGCTGCCATCCTCCCCAGGCCTAAATTATGTTATTTCTGCTCCTCATGATGCAAGTTTTGCTCTAAAACCCAGAGAAGAATACAGGGGAGAGACCCTCACCTTTAGCAGGGTCCCAGAGCCATTGCCTGTTAGGGAGTCTGGCAAGAGTGTCTGGGAGAGGGTCATTTTCTTTCCTGTAAACAAAAGGGCTGTGCAGACTCCTTTCTCAGTGATTTCTTCATTTCCTCCTCCAGAACCAAAGCCTCCTGGTGGTCAGGCGCAAGCTGGAATCAGACATCCAGAGCATCTCCAAAGAGTGTGAGGAGCTCATCAGTGAGACCTGCTCAGCTGATGAGAGGGCCAAAAAAGCCATGACTGATGTGTGTGTGCTGTCTGCTGCTGGCAGGAAGGGGCCTGGGCTTCCCAGGTCAGGCTACCTGCTAGGGACCTAGCTACCACAGGGAAGTCCAGCCCCTTCCTTCATCAGTCACTGTGGAGTCCTGGCACCCTGCCAGTGGGAATGTGGTCCCTGCTCTGAGGAGTCCAAAGTCTGGGGGAATACTTACAAGCTACACACGATCACGTGAGAGATCAGAATGTGTGGCCTGGAGACATAGATCAAAGGTGCCATCAAAGTGGACTCCTCTGGGCAGGCTTTTTGGCAAGGAGGAACATCAAACCAGCCTTGAAGGGAGGGTTAGTGAAAGGAAGATGGGTGCTGTGCCCAGGGGCTCAGGGGTGGATGTTGGCAAGATGTGCTGCCAAGTGTTTTTACCTCAGTAACACTTTAAGTGCTCACATGCCAATCGAGTGGTAGATACTATGTATCCTACTTTAGGGCTGAGAAAATACAGATTTTTGCCGGGAGGAAGGGGGCAGGCTCCTCACGCTTAACAGAAATGCCAGGAGTTTGGGAATATTGTTAGTCTAATTTGTTGGTATGTCCCAAGAGCAGAGATACATACAGAGTGCACAGTAGGCTCTCCATTAATATTTGTGGAATGAACGTAAGAACAAATGGGTAGAATGACTTGCCGAAAGTCACACCGGGGCTGGGTACAGAACTTCATCTTTCTACTTCAGATCTGTGATTTGCCTACCCTCCATGCTGTGCCCCTCTTGGAGGAGAGAGTAAAGATTTTGGCTGGAGAGCACAGGCTGGTGGAATCCACAGGATTGGAAGGCCTAGTTGCGAGTGCATGAACCTGCCCCCTCCCCTTGCACTTGGAAGGATACGGGAGCATGGAGCCCCGGCTTCCAAAAATCCAAGCAATATGTCAATGAGGTTCTGCGAGTCAGCCACTTGGTTTCCCAGAGACTGGGAGACAAGTTTCCTTGTCTCTCAAAGGTACTAGGAGCTGGATAGCGACCAACCCCCAGCGTGTGCTCTTCTCCTTATCTTCCACAGGCTGCCCACATGGCAGGAGAGCTCCAGCAAGAGCAGGACCACTGCATGCATCTGGAGAAGATCAAGAAAAACTATGAGACCACCATCAAAGACTTGCAGGCCAAGATGGAGGAGGCTGAGCAGCTGGCTCTAAAAGGAGGGAAGCGCACAATCATGAAGCTGGAAACCAGGGTGAAGGCAACAGAGCTGAGCCCAGAGAGAGAAGAAGGAGATATGGCCAGCCTGGGGGAGTGGGGAGGTCTTTTTGCAAAAACAAACAAACAAAAAAAAAAACCATGCTCAGCATTTCATGAGGGATTGGGTTATTTCAGAACTGGGAAAGAAAAGGAAATTGAGGCAACAGCTCTAATTTATGTATACCTGACAGCTCTCCCTGTCATCTTTCCCTCAGAATGTCCTTAGGCCCCAAGCAAAGCAGTTTCCAATATTCTTCCTCTTTCTTTGTTCCCAGTCTCAGTTTCCAACATTATTCCTCTCTTATTACTCACTTAAAACAAGTCTTACTCTTTTTTTTAAAGATTTTATTTATGTATTTATTTTTAGACAGAGGGGAAGGGAGAGAGAGAGACACACACACACACATCAATCAGTTGCTTCTCGTACACACCCCAACTCGAGGCCGAACCCACAACCCAGTCATGTGCCCTGACCGCAAATCAAACCTGTAACATTTTGCTTTGTGGAATGATGCCCAAACAACTGAGTTATAGCAGTCAGGGCACAGTTTTAGTCTTTACTTCATGGAATGTTAAAGCTGGAAGAGCCCTGGAGTTTCGGTCATCTTTCCTGACCCCTGCTTCCTCCATTTCCCAGAGGTGAAATCTTGAGGCTCAAGGAAAGTGATCATCTGATAGCTACCTCAGGGCCCTACCCTTCGGTCCAGGGCTCACTTGCTCGCCTCTGGGAAGGAAGTGGACAATGTAGCCACAACACCCCTATCCAAAGTCGCTGCGCTCTGAAGTTCAAAAACATGTATTCCCTCAGCCACATTCTTCTCTTCCTTCCTCAAATCAAGGAACTAGAGGCAGAACTGGATGGTGAACAAAAACAGCATGTAGAGATGGTCAAGACGCTGTGGAAGAATGAGCGTTGCCTCAAAGAGCTGGTCTTCCAGACAGAGGAGGACCACAAGACCAACCAGCGCATGCAGGAGCTGGAGGAGAAGCTGTAGAACAAGCTGAAGGTCTGTAAGTGGCAGACTGAAGAGGCGGTAGGTGGTTGCCGCATGTCCCTAATTCCCCCTCCCTTCCTCGCCCAGGTCTCTAGGCTTGATTAGAATTAACCACAGGGAAGGAATAAAGTATTGGCCAAAAAACAGCTCCCATGAGTTTCATGTCCATGGCACTTCATCCTCACCATCATCTTGCAAGTGGACTGGACACTCCAAATCTGGCAATAAGAACATATAAAAACCAAACTTATCCTCTAAGAACTCCTGTGCTAATTTAAGTACCCTCTGAAGGGTGTGCTCTCAAACTGGGGAAGGTCTTAACTTCCTTTGTCCTGCTTCCACTGCCCCTATGGCCTCTGCCAAAATAACCTTTCCTCCTGGTCATACTGTTAAACACAAGGACTTACCCTTATTTGATCCTCCTGATATAAGGCAGGAAAGCTGATCTTTTTAGTCCATTTCACAGGTGAGTAAACAGCCCAACGTAGGGTATTTATGTTATGTTTTTCGATGTTAAAGTCAAAGTCAAATGGTTAGCAAATGGTAGCTTCAAGTCTCAGTCCTATACCACCATTGCCCAAGACATAGATATTTGACTCTGCTGTCATTTGCTGCCAATTCTGAAGCCACCACGTTGAATCCATCAGCCACCCATCCACCCAGTGCCCTTCCCCAAATGTTCAATAAAGGCAAGGTGTACAGTAAATGTGGTCTAAACAAAACAACTACAAATCTACTGGGAAGACCAGGAGATGGGAAATGTGTGGCAGAGGCTATGGGAAATGCTAAATCCACAATTTCCAAGTGGGGCCCAATTACTAATGCTTAAAACCACAAATGACAGAAGCAGTAACAATACATTTGACTTAGAAATATGGATGCCAAGTCCAAAAAGAATCTGCTAAGAGTGTTGATGATGGTTGTCCATGGTAAGGTGGAGGACAACCCCAACCCAGGACTGCTGTGTTTTGTAACAAGCCTTATAGAATAATTACACTCTTAGATGACATTGCAGAATGGATAACATTAACCAGAATAAACCAGGTTCACACTATTTCCGCTGTGTCTTTGTCACAGGAAGAACAGGCCAACCAGACCTCGGCTCGCTACAGGAAGACTGCATGAGCTGGATGATGCTGAGGAGCAGGCCGGCATGGCAGAGACTGTGCTGAAGAAGCTGCACACCAGCTACCAGGTGGCTGGCAAAGGCATCTAGAACCTCTGCGGAGATCATCCAGGTGTCCAAGACAGGCTCCTCCAAAACCCCTTCTGAGGAGTGAGGTTATCCATGTCCCAGCCCACAGCTGGTAGGTGTGGATTCCACTCTTGACAGCCTTTCTCCTAGTTCACCTTTCCTGCTCCTGCTTTGCTCCCTCAGACTCCTATGCTTCCTGACTTCCAGTCTGCCATGCCCTGATCACACACAATGGCGACCCCAAAGTTTCCTCTGTCCCTTCACCTGCAATATTCCCTCTCTAGAATCTGAAAGTTTTCAGATGTGGTGCTGTCTACCTGTATCACAGGTGCTGGTAGTCATCAAGCATCCCCATCTGCGGGGAAGCTCATTGAATGTAGCTTCCATGTCTGATGATGCTACTTGACACTAGGCCAGCGAATACATGCTAAATACAAGCTTGTTTTCACTGGACAATCACAGGGATATTTGCAAGCTTATAGGCAATGTGTATTCATCTTTCACATTCCCCCACAATGTCATTACCCTTGAGGATTTTCTCAATACTGGTTGAATTTAGATTTCTAACATTAGAAAAATAATAATCACAGCACCATTTCTTGAGTACTTAGTGCAGGTAGGATTTTAGGGGGACAATTTAAAATAGTCCTTTATTTTCCTTAATTCAGAGCCAATTAAAAAGAATGCAGGAGACAAATACATAAAAGCTTTTATGCTATGGTTCTAGATGGAGAATTTAATGGGTGTCTGTCATGGGCATCCTAGTCAGCACCCCAGAATTAAAGGTACCTGCAGAACTGAATAACCACAGCCCTGCTCCCTGGGAAGCAGCTCATATTCCAAGGGGAAGAATAACCAGAACTCATCAGCCCTGCAGATAGATCCAAAAGGAGAGAACAGATGGTCTTCATCCCTGCCTTCCTGGTTCCTTCTTCTAAATATAAGATAAATCATTCCTCTTCCCAGAAGAAAAGAAAGGGAAAGGTGAGGAGAGAAGCAAACAACATTAGTCTAGAACAATGGTCCTCAAAATGTAGTCCTTTGGACAGGAAGCAACATCAGCATCACCTGGGAAGCTGTTAAAAATGCAAATTCTTGGGCTTCACTCGGACCCACTGAATTAGAAGTTCTAGAGGTGGGCCCAACATCTGTGGTTTGACCAGCCATTCAGGTGACTCAGATGTATGAGCAAGTTTGAGGACCAAATGCTATAACAGAAATTGTCCCTTAGAGAAACATAGAGCCAGGGAACAGAGGTTTCACCAACTTTTACAAGAGCCAGGCACATGGTATATGTTTTTTACTTTTATTTACCCTGAGAGGTAGGTATATCTTTCAAGTGTGGAAAAGAAGAAAGAAGCTCAGAGATGTTCAGTGACTTGCCTGTGGTCATCCAAGCCCCGTGCTATGGAAAGGCAAGCTGTCTTAATTACTGTCGAGATTGAAAAAGCTGCCCTCTGTTTAGGATTAATCAGGAGGATTATGATTAACTCAAAATCAAATACTTGGCTTAGGTTGGGAGAGGCAGTGGGCTGGAGTCTCAGTGCTGATGTGCCGATGATATTCAACCTCCATGGATTCTGGGAAATTTTTCTGGCCTTGTGTTTGAGCATCTGGTGGAATCAGCCCTCAGTAAGAATAAGGTTCCTCACTCACTTATATCTGTCTTGCAGGAATGGGTCATTTTAGGTTTTAGCCAAAAGCAGCAACCCCATTGACATTTGAATTTGAGCTGAGCCTGCTCTTCCCATTTGCTTAGGGAGGGAACAAAAAATAGGACACAGAATCTTTCTGTTAATTCTTTAACTCTTAAATAATGGTAAACTCAGGAAGTTAAGTTAAACTAGAGGCTTGCCTCTGGGCGAGTCCTGCGATTAATGCGTAACCATCTCCTTTCAGGACAAAAATCTCTTGTTAATTCCTGGCCTTGGCAAGGGTTACTCATAAGGCTTCCTGCACTGTCCAGAGTCAGAAGGCATTGCAGCTCCTTCCACGCATTAAGTCTTAGCGTCCAGAATTAGACACCTTGTAAAGCACATCCCCTGCCTTGGCTTGGTGATTGTTTATTCCTGGGGTCTGCTGGTCCTGGTCCAATTGCTCTCTCTCCACACCATTGTGCCAACAGCATGTAGAGGTTATAAGGCTGGGGCCCCTGCGGTCTGTTCTCCAAGTCTTGATTCATTATCACTCTCTTATTCTAGCTCTCCTTGTTGGTCATAGGGCCAGATATTCCATCTGTAGCCATGAGATGTCTTAAACAAACTAGTACATGGGTCAGCACTGAGTCAAGATGCCAGAGTTTAGTTTTCTAAAGTAGCATTATATTCAGTCCCACAAATACCTATCAAGCTCTGAATATGAGCTAGGCCTGTACTATGGGATACAGAGATGAAAAAAAAAAAGGCCATCCTCCCTTGTGGAGCTCAGAATCCAGTAGAGAAGTAGACACACACAGCAATTACCATAAGGCTGTGAGCAAATGTTCTGTGATGTGGTGTTTGCATCTCATGGCAGGGAATCACAGGGGAAAGGTGACTGGTTTAACCAAAGGAGGCTAGGTGGAGCAGCTCCACAGTGGACGTGACCTGCACAAGAATTTAGAGCGGTGCCATTCAGTGGGCAGGGCCTGTCTTTTACCTTACAAGACAACAGAAGTATAGAAACTGAGAGGAAGTTTTTAGAAATTTTTATAGCAGCTGAGGCTGCATGACATCCAAGGATATGATCAGTGTATTTTATAAATGTATTAGTCTCTGATATTAAAATAAATGAAAATGGAAAATATTTAGTGAAAATTAAAAATAAACTGATTCTGCCCTGGCTGGTGTGGCTCTGTGGATTTAGTGCCAGCCTGCGAACCAAAGGGTCACCAGTTCAATTCCCACTCAGGGGACATGCCTCGGTTGCAGGCCAGGTCCCCAGTAGGGAGCACATGAGAGGCAACCCTACATTGATGTTTCTCTCCCTCTCTTTCTCCCTGCCTTCCCCTCTCTCTAAAAATAAATAAATATTTATTTTAAAAATTTAAATATAAAAAAATAAAAAATAAAACTGATCCCATACCAGGTAGAGAAGGGAAAAAGAGAATTCCAGATAAAAGGCCTAACAGATGCAACAATGCAGGGGTGGAATTCACACAAGGGTGCATCATGACTGGAGAAGGTGGGCTCATAATGAGGCAAGAGTGATGGACAGTGCAGGAGATGAAGCTAGTGGGATAGGCATGGGTGAGGCTGTGCAAGCCTCTGTTGCTTGCAAGTATTCCATAATCTCCTTAAGGAAATCTTGCTCATTTTCAAAATCCATTTGCGGGATGTAGTGAATAGTAACTTTTCTTTCTTGGGAAGATACATCGCAAGAGCAAAACAAGCTTCTTGGGCCCTCATGAGACAACGCGGGCAAGCTCATGGCGAGCACTCTATCCCAGGGGACTACACTCTGGTCCTTCAATGGCCTATGTAGAGTTCAGGTTTACTTGAGCACACCAAGCTCAAAAAAGTTTCCCTAAACTATCACAATCTTACACGCAAGAAGGGGCAAAGATGTCAGAATTCTCAGCTCTGGCCCACAAGGATTTTCTCTCTCTCTTTTGCCTTCTAGGGTAATACAGATCTCAACAGCAGACCACTGAGAGGAAAAATATATGAAAATGGAAAACTAGGTCTTCCTGAGAATGTTTACTATGCAAAGGTAAGTACAGGCGAGAAAGAGACAGGTGCTAAAGAATAATGATAGCTGTGGGGCAAATGGGTTCAGGAATGTGAATACTCAGCCATTAGTGGAATTAAAATTAGCATGGCTTCTCTGAGACTTCATCAAGCTGTGTAAGCACTTGTAAAACAATAACAGTGGGTCTGTTTCAGTTGATATCGTACATGTTCATGTCAAGGACGGAATATGTAACGTCTGTGTGGCTTGGCTATTCCCTAGAAATAATTGTTCACATGGACAATGTTAATGCCTTGTCCCAATGCAGCTTAAATAAAAGAAATACAAACAATAGACTGACTGGAGATTGCTTTTAAGTAAAGAAATATTTTTCTAAGACTTCCACATCCAAAGGCAATTTTTACAATATATCAGAGTTCTGTTACCTAATACCTAACGTCCCTATACCTAATTCACAGACTCGTTTCTCCAGAAACCATGAAAACTATGCAGTCTTAGTGCAGTTCTGTGCAAGTTTTGAAAGGGTATTCTCAAAGATATGAAGACAATCTAGGTTTTATAAAGTTCAGGAGGTTATGGAATCCGCTGAAAGGATATTAAGATCCATCCAGGCCAATAACCCACAAGATCTCCTAATGATCCACCTCAGCATCTTCCAGGATGTTCAGACACAGGCAGGTCAGCTCCATGGAGACAGGAAGTTTTGTGTGTTTTACTCACTGCTATATCCTGAGCAACCAGAGATCACCAGGCATGGGGTAAGCACTCAGTAAATATGTGTGGAGTGAACAAATGATAGAGAACGAGTTGCCTCCAAGGTAGTCCTTCCAGACATTGGCCAGAAAGTTCTTCCTTATATCAAGCTGAGATCTACCCCCTGGTGGTATCCCCTTGCCATCCCTGGTTTTGATACCTAGGACCCTGCAGAACAACCTTAATGGAAGGCAGTTTTCATGGTCCCTCCAGGCTTTCTCTTTTCCAGGCAGAATATTCCTAGGTCCTTCAACCATTCCAAGTGTAGCAGGGTTTTTGCTGTAATCTTCCAACAGTATTTAACCCTGTTCCTCTCCTCATTTTCCCAGTCTTCAGAGTGCAGGGGTGGAGGGGGCAACACTATGAGGGCTCCTTGCCAATTCACAGCCCTCAGAATGCACCTTTCCTCAGCTCTCTGGAAATGGCATCACCCCTTTAACAATTACCACTTTGACCTCTCGCCAATCCATTGGCAGACAGAAATCACTGTTTGGGCTGATAGAAAAAGAGATAACAATACCCCACTGGTGGATCCCTCTCCATTTTCACATGGATCCATATCACCCTTGCAATGGTTCTGAATTTGGTGCTCTCTAGGAAGTTCGAAGAACCATGTTTGGTTCCTACTGTGAAAATAGACCAAGTGTGAAGCCACTGCACTCT